GATGGATGTTTTAAAAACTTGAGGAAAAACACCAGTTGTTATACAAAGATTAACAATATGGGTCATAATAGGTGTAATTATAGTTTTAGCCATTTTTAACAATTTAGTGGGTATGCCATCCCAACCCATGGCGCTCTCACTCTTTAAGTTCCTAATTATAGACTCAATTTCTAGTTCCGTTGCGTTTAATAGTACCAATGAATTAACTGGTGAATATTGTGATTCAGCCCTGAATAAATTGTTTTTAACTCTTTTAGATATTATTTCGTTTGCCAGAGCGGTTCCAATGTTAGAAAATGGTTCTATGAACTGAAATTGATTTACTGTCAATAAATATAAACGAAAAAATAAGTCAAATAACGACGTCCTTCTTTTAGAAGTTTTAAAAAAGAAAATAGTTCTCATAATTTGGGATAAAATTATGAAAGCAATTTAATTATTCACTACGATACTTCACCACGTTACTGAAAAGCTGGAAAATTGAATTAACCATACTGTAACCGAAACTTTTAGTTGGGCCTAAATTTCAATTTTGCTCGAAATCGTTTCTGGGAACTACTGACTAAAACTTCGTACCTCTAATATAATTTAATTTATCATCCACTTCAGGAAGTTATTCAGGAATACATTATGAAATTTATATAAATAAATATGTAAGCAATGCCTGCTTCTCAAATGCCCACTCGGATATTGCTCAAGGATGTGATTTAAATTTGATGGAGTATAACGCCTTTTTTAAGTTTTAGAAGGACAAGAGCCTATTTAGAAAAATAAATACACCCGCCGCCTTTTGTCTCTTAGTCGCGGCAACTTACGAATATATTTTAAGGCTTAGCATAACGGGAATTAGAAGTTAACACTTAACAGTAATCATAGAAAAGTTCCTAATCTAAAAATAATATCGCGCCATCTAGTGAAGGTAAGCTAAACTGTTTAGTAACTATTAGTATTGCCTAGTCGGAGGAGCTACGTTATAAGAACATTATGACGATTATATAAATAAAGACGAACCCCGTACACATTTTTTAAAAGCCGGATAGTGTTTTACAAGCAGGTCAGGCACAAGCAATCGATACAGTATAGTACAGTACAGATACAGATCCGAAACTAGTCCTAGGTTTGTTATTTGAATTCGAAGAAAATTCATCTAAGGACACAAATGAATGTCTAAAGGTGCACATTTATAGTATAACTAATCTGTCATCATTTAAAAGTAGAATAATTTTAAAGCATTTGCCTTCAGAGGTTTGAAGAAAAAGAACATGTAAGTCATTTTTCTTGTGTCTATTTTGATAAATGTTATTGGATTGAACGGGCAGACATTTTTTTTTACAAAACTTAGTAGCTAATACAGACAAAGAATTAGCCACCAAGGGGAGGCAGGTGTTACGGATGGCGGTCATTATTTATTGACTAAACTTTTCTCGCCGTATTTGTGGTCCTTTTTTGGACTCATTTCTTAATGTGTACTATCGTATCAGTATATAAATCCATGTCGAAATTTTATAAATAAATAAATTTGAAAATAAACTGAAGAATTAAATAAAAATTATAATAATTAATTAATGTTGGTTTCAGGAACAAATAACAAGGGAAACGTAAACAAAAATAAATTCTTGGAGTACTTACAATCTGACCACTGTGGTGAATTAGTATCTTTCTGTGATAGGTATGAAAAGGTGACAGAAAAAAGAAATTGTGGTGATATCAAAAACCGTAAAGCGTTGTGAAAACTTTAACGATAAACTTAAAGCGGCTTTTAATAGTTCAGTACTCTGTGTAGACCTAACACTTACAATAGCTTTTTTTAAACTTTTTCTTCAACATTTAACACCATCTTTACACCAAAAACGCTAGTGGTTAAAGGTAACGCCACATTAGGCAATGGGCTACCCCTGGCTAACTCAAACCACTTACCACTCATGATGACAGGAATTTTAATAAAAGTGAACAGTTTCATAATTATGTTAAAGAATATTCGTAGCTCTAGAATATCTCAAATAATATTCAAGACTTAAGTAAGACTTATTAACAAATTTAAATCCGCAATAAAACGTGGCCCTCTGGCATAGGGCCTACTACTCAATTGTGGATTACATAGAAGACAAAAATGCTTGGGATTAATTAGCGCAGGCCGTTTCTTAAGTTAAAATATGGTGTGTTCTAGTTTTCTATTTTTTATGTTTCACTTCGTTTTCTCTTTTATTCGTTTTTTTTCCTTATCTTGTTTTCTCTTCATTGTCTATATTTTATATTTTTGGTATATTTATTATTAAATTATTCTGTATATTTGATGGTATTAAATATTTATATTTAATGCCATTGTATCTATCTGTGAATTATTGCAAAAGAGTGGCCATGAGTTTGTTTGCCCTTTCTTCTCATAAAGCTCAACCCCTTGGAAACGTGGAAACGGGCGGTGGTAGATCGGCACAGGTATATCATAGATTTTGTATGAGCTTAATTTTTACTGTACCCAAACTAGGCAGACACTGTGCTATGGTAATCAGAATAGATACATATTATAGATAAATTACACCCAGACACAGAACAAATGACCGCGCTCATCACACAATATTTGTCCTGGGTGGGAATCGAAACCACGACCTCTCGCTTACCAGTCAGGGTCGCTAAACACTTGACCAGCAGGCCTGTCATCGTCAAATGATTTGAGGTTTAGAGACTTACGACTCTAATAACCTCTCAGATGGTCAGTCAAAAGATGATCGATTAAAATTTCTTTAAATGTAATATTAATTATGGACCTTCCAGTGCACAGTAAAGGATGTCAACTGCTGAATGTAGAACATCCTCATTGACATTCAAGACGAGTACTTAGGAAACGAATACTTTGGATTCTGATAGATGGCTGAAATAGCCTCATACGCCTAATAAACCTCTACCCTTAAGTGTTGTTACTGAAACCGAGATACCAAAATTTATTACTGCGATAACCATTACTCTTCCAACAATAACGTTACAGTACTATTCTTATTATAAATACAATCATAAATATAATCTATTTTCTATGTTCTAAGGTAAACTTTAGAGGCAACTTTATTCTATACAAATAAATAAAATTGAAGTGTCTGTTTGTAATGTCAAAATAATAGGTTTTCTTCATGCTTACAAGGTTATTTGCACGATACCTATGCCCAAAAACCAGTTTTAATAAATTTTTTCTGTCTTTCTCTCTGTTCCGGGTAATCTTCAAAACGGCTAGACCGATTTATATTATATTTTACTACCAAGTAGCTGTCTATATAAGGATTAACTTAGGCTATTTTTCTCTCAGAAAAAACCCAATAAAAATTTTGCCTGGTCCGGGAATCAGACTCACTAAGGCAGCGCTTTTCAAATTCCACGCGAACGAAGTCGCCGGCACCAGCTAGTATGAAATATGTTTGTTTCTAATCATACTTTTAACTGTAAAATATTTTGTAAAACTTTAAAATACAATAATAAGCTTATCCTTACACAGATAATAAGCTTCTCTCTGTCTACATGTACCCTTTTACCATCAACAGCTTGTATCAGCCCAGTTGATATCTTGTGTGGAAAGGTATATTTTTCATCTTTCATCATGGAAAAGCCATGATTCTGTTCTGAAGTGGTAGCACATATACCAAGTGTATACATACATACATTTGGTGCAAGGCTGTGGTGGCTGTGCACCACTTACTACCGACAGAGTAGTCACTTACCATCAAGAGACTCGTCTGCTCGTTTGCCCACTATATCATAAAAACAATTTTGTTTAGTTCTGAAAAACTGCAGCAAGCTCTCGTTAATGTATATTTTATTCTTTAATTTTATATGACGACTGAATGGCGTAGTGGTTTGTGTAACGGACTGCTATTCCAAAGGTCGCGGATTCGATTCCCTACTTGACTTGACCCGTTTGACTTGAGTCAAACATTTGTGTGTATGAACATTTAATGTTTGATTTGGTCTAGGTGTTTTATGTGTGAGTATGTATTTACAAAAAAAAAATGTATTTATATCAGTCGTCTATTAGCCATAGTACAAGCTCTGCTTAATTTGGGACTAGATGGCGTTGTGTGAATGTGGTACAATATTATTATTAGATTATTAGTATATAATTCCGTGTATATACGAAATATTGACTGCACGGATGGCGTAGTGGTTTAAGCAGTCGCTACGCCTCTTACTACTATACTGAGTGTTATGGGACCGATCCCCACAATAGACGACACTTTGTGTAATCATCAAATTGTTGTTCTGAGTCTGGGTGTTCTTTATGTCCGTTTCATGTATGTTTGTAATGTCCCCCGCGACACAGGATATATTCCTAATGCGGGAGTTGTCTTTAAAAAAAAAAAAAGAAAGAAATATGCTGTGATTTCTATACTGACATAATTGTTTTTTATTTAAAAGACAACTCCCGCATTAGGATTCTAGACGATGTCCATTATTGACAGTAATGAAGAGTCTCTCTCTGAGAGAAGAGTTACTCTTGTCAACGAGCAAAATACACTAAACGGATTAGAGTTAATCGTCGTCGATATATCGCGTTAACGTTACTCTCACGATAACGATATTGATTTGCAGCTTAGAACAAGTTATATGTGTCTAACTCAAAGCCATCCACTGTTTACGATATTCACAAGTATTCCTTTGAATGTTATTTGGAGATTATACGAATTTGCTTCGGGTACTAAGCCGTGAATTTTTGCGCATTTGAACTAGACAGATTGAAATACTTATTATAGATAAGGTATTATAGGTAAGCATACTGATTGATTTCATTGAAATAAATAATACGAACGTCTGATCCCAAACTATGTAGAGCCTGTACTACTAGACAGATTGAAATACTTATTATAGATAAGGTATTATAGGTAAGCATACTGATTGATTTCATTGAAATAAATAATACGAACGTCTGATCCCAAACTATGTAGAGCCTGTACTATGGTTACCAAATTACTGAAATGACTCCATTTAATATGTAAAGGGCTTTCAAATTATAGAATACGATGAAATATTCGTAAGTCACTATCAATTTTCACTCATTTTTTAATAGACCTTATTTTTATATGATCGCTCGATTTACTCCTAACATTGTGATGGACCCCAGTGAACATTAGGAGTGAAAAACTTATAAATATAAGCAACAAATGATTATGGGAATCTATTACTGCTAAATAATCTAGATAAACTGATTTAAATGATCGTGACTAACGAAGTTACTTTGCTTGCCAAAAAAAGTTCAAAACTTATCTGGAAAGATGAATGATCAGATCAATGACGTATGATATGTGTATTCTGTTGTCGTACTACCTTTATAGAATAGACATTAAGTAATAAGTACCGAATTAAATTCAGTTTTAACAGAACCATTGTACTTAATTTAATATATTTTTCGTCTTCGTTTTTGTACTTATTTTTCGTTCCCTAACGTTATCAAATTCAATATCACATGCTCAAATCCTGTCTACCGCTTCTTTGCCGTATGTACTAAACACATCATTCATATTCATGTTATTACTTTCACAACAACGTATTATTACTTTACCAACTTTTCTGTACATATTTCTTACAAAGCAACACTAACTTCTATCCTTTATTATAGCGCAGTCTACAACAAACAACTTATTTAAGTTATCGTCGAAGGCCTGCTGTTGGTCTTTAAAATCATCATCATCATCAACAGCCTTTAATAGTCCACTGTTGGACATAGGCCTCTCCTTAGAAAGGAGGTTTTGACCTACTATACCACGCTGGCCAGACGGGTTGGTATAGGGTTTGTTTCAAGTTACCTGCGCCTCATGCCGCCCTGAGTGTGGTCGCGGGTGGACGGGATGGGTTTTCCCCTCCACCCGCATTAGTTTGGCCAGCCGCGAGGGGGCGGCGTCCGCGTGTGCCGGACGTCGCCTAAAGAGAGGGTCCACTGAGACGGAGCCCGCGCCAGGAGCGGGCCGGCGCTGGGAGGGGTCCAGAAGGCGATAACTACCCGGACCCCTCCTAATATTTTTTTTTTTTTTTTTTTTTTTTTTTTTTACGTCACGTAAAAAAAAATATGTTTTTTTTCAAGTTTTCCTTCTTTTGGCAATGCTGTTGTCCTGCGCAGTTTGCTCCCTTAGTCGTCTCTTATGACACCCACGGGATGAACAGGGGTGGTGACACTCCGTATTCTTAATTCGTCACCACACTGACATTTAAAATTTAAAATAATCCAACGAAATGACATATCGATAGCTTTCTAAAAGTATTTACAAACTTAAACTAAACTATTTCCAATACAGTTAGTAATAATACAGATGCGTCACACCAAGAACGAAGAAAACGTTTTATCAATGCCTGATATCAAACTTTTTATTATGAACCTTCTTTAATATCGAACGTATTTACTCGCCACCTGTAGATATATCAACGTCATGTTATGTCTCCGTTCACGTGCGTCAAAACTGATTTATTCTTTAACGAGTGCCTGAAAACTACAGAGTACAGCTGAAAGCATTCAAAAGCTCTACGTTAACTCTACGAGCGAGATAGATGCTAGAAATCTTCCTCAAATAATATAGCATACTTTAAAAATAACTACTTGTCTTGGTTTCTTTTATGACTTGTGAATTCAGGTTATATGTGTAAGCGGCTCGCTATTGAATAGTGATGGTGGACAACTTACCTCTGATTCCAGAAAAAAGGCAAGCATTTGGCTTTTTATATTCATCAATTGTTATTTAAGGTGGTTTTCTGAAACAGGGCCAATTCTTTTAGTTTATATCTTTTGTTTTGTGGACTTTTAGGTGATCTTATAGTTCACTATCACGTTCTTTTAAACTATTCAGAGATCTCATTTCACGTTTAGAGTAATTAAATTCAGTAAAGTTTCACTACACTAGAAATACTGGAGACAGACCTCAGTCCAGTTATAACATAGCAATCAAAAAACTAATTGTTGAGGTAGCAGGATAGTTTGACGTCTATTCCTCTCATCATCATCATCACATCAACAGCTTTTACTAGTCCACTGCTGGACATAAGAAAGGAGGTTTTGGCCTACTATACCACGCTGGCGAGACGGGTTGGTATAGGGTTTTTGTCAAGTTTTCGTTCTCTCTGCAGTGCTGTTATTCTGCGTAGTTTTTCCCACAGTCGGCTCTTACGACACCCACGGGATGAATAGGGGTGGTGAAACTCTGTATTCTTAATCCGTCACCATACTATTCTTCTAGCCACCTATAAAGTAAGCTCTCTTGCTAAGCTCCAAGCTATAAGGCACTGCTAAAAATCAGATGATCAGTCTATGCCTGATCTTCATAGGTACAGCATCATAAAAGTTTTTGACATTCAATATTTTGTTAATGAAAATTATTATATTAAATTATGGTCTTTATAATGTCTACGTTATTACTATATTAGTTGCTACTGGTAGGAGCTAACAATTTCTTGTTCCAGTGCTGCGTGTACCAACGTCCGCTCGGTACTGAGGACAGTATTCCATGATCTAGACTTTCTGCCTCCATTGTCAGTTGGAAATAAATCAGTAGAGAAAAATGATGTCTCAGCTGTATTAAGAGGTCAGAAATTGCGGGATGTCGATAATTGGGTAAGACAATAATGTTTAACCCATATTTACTCCTTTATTTCTCCATCTCAGTCTCTAATAGTCCACTGCTGTACATAGGCTTCTCCTTAGAAAGGTTATAGTACCACGCTAACCAGACGGGTTGGTGTGGGATTTGTGTCAAGTTTACCTTCATTATCCAGTGCTGTTGTTCCACAGGATGACAACACTGCAAAAAGAAGGAAAAGAGCCGACTAACCTCTCTTAGTCGGCTCTTACGATACCCACGGGCTGAATAGCGGTGGTGACATTCCGTATTCTTAATCTGTCGCGACATGGATACTCCTTTATTTATTTCTACAAACTGGAGCAAAGCAACAATGTTTTTGGACACTTCATCGCATCGAACAAATTTCTTCTGTAAAATATTACATGTGTAAATTTTATTTGTTAAATAGGATTTATTACTATAACCCAACACTAAAAGTCAACAATTTTTATTATATAATGAGTAAAGTAAGTAAATCGAAACTTTTAGGTTACTTTCCATCAAACTAGAATCATGCAATTTTGCGAAAAGCAAGGTCATGTGACCTTGTTGTACAGCAAAAACACTTATGATACAATGATTTAATACATGAAAAGGCTATAGTAACAAACAGTAATGTATATTCTAGAAAAGGTATAAATATATGACTGCAATAATTGAATTTTAAAAATATATACATTTTGTTCTAGCCAGAGAAGTATGAAACAGAATGCATAGAAATCTGTAACCGAGAGAATGAAATTAAGTACCAGTATGGGAAGCGAATTTCTCTGGAACCTCTCCCAAATATCTTTAAACTACATGAGTCCAAAGCAGATAAATCGTTACAGACGTGTAGACTAGATCAGGATCTTCTTCTTCGTAGAAAAGACTTAATACCTGGAATAGAGCATAATGCTGGAGGTAAGTCTTTAGTTAATTTTATATTGAATTTTGAGACGATAAGTTTTTCGATACGATGTCTGCAATTTGAAGTTTGACCATGGAAAAAGCAAATAATATTATTATATGCCTGTCAATTTGGAGTACTAACTGAACCAGACTTATGACTCGGCAATAATGTGATTTACTTTTAGGGAATGATAATTTATGGATTAAGAATATTTTGAATGCTAGTTCGTGCGACGTAAGTAGAGCTCAATGCACCACAGATCCAGGCATTACATTAATAGCATCCGACTCATCCAAGGAGACAACTTTACAGACATTGAGGTAAGAGGACAGAATATCATTTATATAGATATATGTAACATATAGACTATATTGTACTGATTGCAAGCGAGAAAGAGAAAGAAACACTTATTCACAACCAGTTTGATAACTTCGCGTTAACTACTTGTAGGAGATACGACACAGAAGATTCATAGATTCTAACTTGACGGGCCTGTTGGTCTAGTGGTTAGTGACCCTGACTGCTAAACCGGAGCTCGTGGGCTCGATTCCCACCCATGACAAATATTGTGTGATAAGTACGGTCATTTGTTCTGTGTCTGGGTATAATTTATCTATAATATGTATGTATTTAAATATATATAAGTATGTTTATCAGTAGTCTGGTCACCATAGCACAGGCTCTGCCTAGTTTGGGATCAGACAGCCATGTGTGAGATGTGTGAGATGTATTATTATTATATTATATTAATTCAAACTTTAGTTTTCCTACTCTTTTGAGCGCGCGAAATCATTGAAAACAAGTAAAGCCTAAGGTTACCAGTAATGCACACATATTCAATCTACGTGCTCATTGTGCAAAACATATTTTATCGTCGTAATACCAGCAATGTTACTTATGCATTACAGTTAATAAGAGAGCCACGCTGATTCAATTTACCACGAGAAATAAATATGAAACATTGCTTTTTTTATATATCACTGTTTAAGTGGACAGAAATGGATAGTTGTAGATTAAAGTGGCTAACTTATACAAATGACGTTTATCCACAGTATCGGGCAAGTGATGCCACGCTCTGTGCCAAAGGCACCGCCCATTTCTACGTCACCTGTGAGCGTTGAATATGTGATATGTGTGCCGGCAGAACTTCACTTTTTAAACTGTTCCATAGGTCGTTTATATGTGGTAAGTTTAAATTATTATTATATTATGCTTATTGGAGAACCACTCATTGCGGGCACCAGGGATCCGGGCGAGAAATTAACTCTTTGTAGGTTACTATATGATTTATATCTTACGTAAGATAAATTACAACACAGACTTATTTTTCACTTTAAAATCACTTTAAATTATAACACACTGTACAGTTCCTAGGCTAGTGTTACTTTTAGAGCGGACAGTACGATAAGAGCTCCGAATACAAAGTGCACAGTGCATACACTTTTACAGACCCCTCTCTAATCGAGGCTCTGTACACGTCACTGTGACGTTTGTGTGTCGTTGATATAATTATATTTAAAAGTTCGGACTTTTCACCAAGACCTAGTTTGAGTTTCAGCTACGAGTATTATGTAGCTATGACCAGTTTGAGCTCTTACTGTCGTAGTATAATTCATTTCACAAATTGAAATTCACGGTATTCTTTCGATGTTCTTTCTTCTGCAAGTTCAACAACTATAAGACAAATGAAACCAAACTATAGTAGGCAATTTTGCTTTCATATTCATGATGTATGTTTGTGTGTATTTATGTATACTCGTACATGATTTTATGTATGCATGGATAACATAATATTGCTATAGGAATGAATATTATTATTTGTTTGAATTATTATACTTTTTTCTACCTATTCATAAATATACATGATTTTGCCCTGCCTTGTCATCTCTCTCTATTCTAAATGTTCGCTGTAAATAACTCAGATTAAGGTTAGGCTTGCCTTGTGTAAGGTTCCTTGAATATACATTAATTAGTATGTTTAATCTATACAAATAAATAAAATTAAAGTGTTTGTTTTTAATGTCTAAATAATAGGTTATTTTCAAGCTCACACGCTTATTTGCACGATACTTATGCCTAAAAACCAGTATAAATATTTTTTTGTCGGTCTGTTTGTGCCGGGTAATCTTCAAAACGGCATGACCGATTTTGATAATATTTTACTTCCAGGTAGCTGTCTATATAAGATCAATACAATTTTACCCGGTCCAGGAATCGAACCCACTAAGGCAGCGCTTTTCAAAGTCCACGCGAACAAAGTCGCAGGTAGCTGCTGGTATATAATAAATGACATGAAATGATGATTTATCAAAAATAATTTGTTGGTTTTAGAAGCACATCCGCCTCATCAACGTATCAAAATTTGAGTGGCGTCTTTCGATATCTCCTCCGAAGAGCAACGAATTCAAAGTGGTAATAAACAGTCACCGAGGCCTTACTATGACGTCAGGTGCTAATGTGGACCTAAGCGTGCAATTCACACCGACGGATGTGCGAATGTTGACAGACACACTTACAGTGAGAGTCTCGTGTGGACAGGTCTTCATAATTCCTATTACTTGTTATATGCAGCCGCCTGTATTGGAAAGTCAGTGTTAATCCTAAAGTAATAAGTTTTATTATTGAACTGCTTTTATAGCGTAGAATAAAAAAAATTGATTCTATCTGCAGTTTTGATACCCATCGCCAATTCTTCTCTTACTTCTACTTCGGAACGAGTGAGCTTTGTCTGTTTTCGCAACGACCTAAATTTCGATGACAAAGTGCTGGAGCTCGGAGCCCGATTGCTCGGCGATGTGCACTGCTCGCTTGTGCTGCTGCGCTGTGACGCTGAGCATGTTAAGTTTTTCATTCTTACTGAGGATGCTTGGATCGATTGGAATGTCAATGTTAGTATCAATTTCCTGTTTATTTATTTAGTTTTTACATTCACACCGTAAAGGTATTCCTAATATATACTATACTATTTGACAAAACAGAGATTGTTGTTTTTGTGTGTGTTGATCTTTGACTTTAGAGTCTACATAAAAGACGATTTCAACAATTTTGAAAATTTTATGAAATAAAGAGAGTTTGAGTTTGAATACTTTTGTTAACAGTTTGGTATCTCGAACAAAAAAATATTTGTTAAAATTTTTCTTGTTAAATGTTGTTAGATGCATTTACTTTTCTTATACCTTAGAATCACAGCATCTCTCTCTAAAAAATGTGATCGCCTCTTAGATTTTTTTTTCTTCAGCAAACCTAACGTTTTCAGTGTCTATCGAGTCACTGCACAGTGTTAAGTGATAGGTTTGTGGTCTGGCCGGCTTGGTTTTGCGGTGGCGGCTTGGTGGAGGCGTGCGTCTGGTGCTGCGGTGACAGTGTGGGAATACATGAGACTACCTTACGGATTCTCAGTTCCACAGCTATTAACCGGCAGCTGACTCTAATTGCTGATGTACTGTGGTTTAGTCCACAACATCTTGTTATAGAGGTTATTAATTGTTTCTCTTATTAGTTCGAAAAAAATATAGATATTATAAACACGATATAATACACAGAGCAGGAATGCAACCGTGTAATCCTAAATAAAGTAAATGTTAAATTTTTGATTGTGAAATGATTCTGTAATATTTTTTACATCATATTAAAGGACCATGAGAAGGACTATGACATATGCAGCGACGACGACCCCGGTTGCGAGTACTACATACACCTGGGCACCACATTCCCGCACCGTTCCTTGTCTATCACCGTGAAACTTATCAATCGCAGGTCTGTTACATTAAATATAAAATTGGTTACATTTGCATTTTACCGTATAGGTACTATTCATGCACATCCACAGAAATTATAATATTGTTCGGCTATGGTTTTTTTTTTTGCTTAGCATGGACATTGCTTTTCCCTAGCTTCGTGTTCACAGTGTCTTTCTTAAATCATTTGTTTAAATGGAACAAATTGTTTTCATGTTTGTGACTATAGAAAACTGGTACATTTGATCTCGAAGTTTCACTTCAAAGGTAGTCTTGTTTAAATATAAAAATAAAAGAATCAACCTAAAAGATAGAAAACTAGTGAATGCAGAAATAGTAAATTGCTCACCTATTTTGTTGGCGCCAAACACACAAAAATAAAATGAAACATAAAAACATTTCACCGTCAAAGGGACACTGCCACCCGTCACCTACATTTTTCTGCTGTGATTGTTTGCCAAAATTACTTAAGTATTTAGGTACATGAGGTACAGATTAGTTAAACTAACAAGTATATTTTTAATAGCCTTATTTGATTCGCCAATTGGGTTTCAGTCTAGTAAAGACAACATTTAAAGTAGATTAACATTAACTAAACGTACATGATATTTATTTTCCAGTCCAATAATGTACAATTTTTACTGGGACGCTCGACGTTGGGGAATATGTTCATGCTGGGAGGAAGAATTAGAATCGGAAAACTCTTTAAAGTCGGATGATAATAGTGAACGACTTTGTCCTGGAGCGATAGAATCAAAACACATGAGTCGTGAGGTAATCCGTTATGAATCCAAGCTAACAGCCATCCTATTTCATCATCTTAGTTATTTAAATCATTTACAGAGAATGGTCAAACTACGGGTAGAACTTCCAGATGTCTTAATAAAAGCTTATCCCAGATCCCTACTATTTTACGTGCAGTATGCCACTCCGTGTAGTTGTAGGCATTTTGATTCCTGCCAACCGCCCGACTCAAAAGCTCTTTATTTTATGGTATAGGGGTAAATGAGCAGGCAGGTGATCCGATCAGTACTCACCCAAGTATAAGGAGGAGGTGGGGATGCCTGAGCACTGAAAATCTTACTCCCTCGGTATGCAACGAACCCGAACGATGCTGAACCTGGTTTTTTGTGAGGTTTTCTGCAATGACTCCGGTCGAGGCCCCCTGGCATGACCCTCCCATAGTTTAGTTTAGTGTCCGGTTTAAAACATATATCAGTCATATATTTAGAATAATGAATTAAAGATATAAACCTAAATATGGCTTAGGATCCCGAAGCGTATGCTAGGAAAATTGAGCCTCATCACGTGGTGAGGGTGGAGCCGTCACAGGATCAAATATTGCCCGGCGCCACGTTCCTGCTGGAAGTTTCCGTGCCCGACGTCGGGAAGCAGCTCGGTGTGCAACGTCATGTACTCAGGTACATAGGACATACTTGAAATATTGTAAATACAGAAATCTTGTTTTAAAACTAATAAAATTAAAAAAAAAACATATTTCAAATGGGAGAAGACTAGCACGAATGAAACTACAGGTATTAAAGAGATATTTACAAGAAAACCTTTACTTTATTTAGAAATTTAGACTTATACTATGAAAATTATTTTCAACCCATAACCTCCTTGAATTTCACATTATCTCTTTGGAACATAGTGTTACATTATTTACACAAGGGTATATATATATATATATACATAATAATATATATATACATAATATGGGCATTAATTTAATGATATAATTAGTTGTTTTAACTATCGGAATTACAACTTAGTTTATTTTCCTTGTAAAATTACTTCTGGTAATTAATAAATACAAACAATAAAAATGTATTGTGTATAGGTTGATGTTGAAAGACATACCCAAGGAGAGTTTGCCCGCTAATTATAAGCCAATAATCCTTAAAACGACGGAAGTGACATCAACACCAATTCCAGGTTTACAGGTACTATAAATCTATACTTTTTTACCTCTAGTTGTAGTAATGAAAATGGCTATAGATTAAACGGCGCATAAAGACAAGCAGGATTTTTGTGTAAATATGTTTATTTTATTTCTAGAGCTCGGTGATGGAAGTGTGCGATATATTGGTGGCAGAAATGGAGGTATGGTGGGAGGTGGTGCCTGTGAGGTTCGTCCTAGAGCCTCCTGTGATACCCATGAACTACTCACGCAGGTACTTATAACGTGACTACCGTCGATAATAGTAATACCACTACTGATGCTACTATCATTTGCTTGCTAGATGTTGTTTTTTTTTTGTTCAACAATATTTTTTAGAGAAGTCTCCTGCACGAACAACTTCATGTTAATCAGATGAACAATACAACAGTGCACAAAATATGAAACAAATATTAATATATAAGATTACTGCAATAATTGAAGTATCCCATGGTAGTAAGTGCAATATTATTTGAACATGTGCAGCCACCACACTCGTACTGCATTAACAGCTGGTGCCCGCAATTATGTATGCGTAGAAGCTCTTTTCGAGTATTACTTTTGCTATAAACAATACGTCTTTTTTACGTCACGTTTATCAACATATCATTAATTATTGGTCCAAAAACTCAGGCATGAAAGCAAAACTGACAGGCAAAATTGATTACTAATATCAGTATAGTTAAGATAAATGCGAATACTTGGACGTTTAAGTTCCCAGATCATACTGACAGCACAGAATATTTCAATATTTCCTAGGTTGACATCAGTGAACGTGACCTTAGGAGCTTGGCAGTTGTTCGGTCGTCACAGGGTTCGTGTATCGTGGGTCACTCCAATGAGAGTGGTAAAGCCCCTGTCACTGCGAATAACCACCACAAATTGCGTCACAACCGGTTTCAAGTTGCCGCTGCCTTCTTTGCTCAATCAATATCCGGAGACTGATGTTTTCACGTAAGTAACGTTAAAGAAACATTTAAAAACGACAGGGTAATACCGATTTAGTAGATAGTTTAAGTCGTAATAAAAAAAGGAAAGAATTTTCTAATAGCACTATTTATGTCTAGATTGGTGGCTGAGAAGAACGAGTGGAAGGCACACTGTGCAGTCACCTATCAGTGTGATACGCGTCACCCCGCTCTGCGACCGGCACAAACATGGCTTGGGATTGTTACGCCAAGAACCCATATGCAAAGTGTATTTTCACTCACAAATAACACGTATCAAAAAGTTAGTACGTCTATAACCTGCATGGTTGTCAAGAGATTTATTAGACCAGTACTAGAAGTACTTTTTAAAAAGAAGAAAGAAAATATCGGGTCTCATTTAGTGTTAAAGTAATTACTTATAGTAGTTAAGGTAGTACTCTATAAGCACAAATATGAGGACACATATAATGTACACACATGCTACATACATACACGTACAGCTGTATTTTCGAAGGAGTAGTCAGCTATATATAAAACAACTACATTTTGTAGACTATATTTTGGTACCAATCACATAATTGGACAGAAACTAATAGTACTAGCAACTCCCCAATAACATAATTTCACAATCATGTGTTGAAAAGGAAATATTATTATAGACAAGGTACAAAGGCAGTAGAGATTTTTTTTTTTTTTATCAGCCAGTACAACCTGTTCAAAACATCAGGCAATTCAAATGCACGTCATGAATACCTATTAGGTGATCTAGTTTATTTCCGTGTATTTGTATAATTATGCATCACAAAATATTTATTACATAATATATGTTGATATATTAAAAATCATTCTTTAATATATTAAATGTGATAAACATTATAGTCGATAGTAAACATACTATAGTAATCGATTTCAATGCATGAACAATTACATCTGTGGGTTTTATCTATTATGAATCGCAATAACCTTTAATTATAATAGATGAAAGCGAGAGACTTAGATGCAATTAGAGGGCTTAAACTTCCCAGCAACAGATAGTTGGATTTATGAGATAACGACCCTAACTGAATTGATAATACATCTAACATTATATCATAACCGTGTAAGCTATTCAAGATTCTAACTCAATAATATAACTAACCCTAAACAATGTCAATTATATTTAGATAAGGTTTTGGTGCAAAGCTTTCCGCTGGTGTGGGGAGAACCCACCCAGCCCGCCGTGCGTTGGCCGGATCCCTTGCAGGCACTGCAAAGAGATCGCTTGCACCTGCGCACTGTTGAGACCTGGTCAAGGTGCACTGAGTCAGGGAGAGTCGGCGGATATTGTTTACGACGTCAATGCTCCTCAGGTTGGTATCATACGTAGCGTAGTGAATTTCATACAAACACTTGTGGCTGATATCCCTGAAAATAAAGATGTATGAATTAAATTAGCATATTTCGCTAAATATAATTTCAGCTCCATTCATGTAATCGAGGCTAAGTTTAAAGATTAGATCGATTTAAGGTTGTGAGACATAGAATAAAACGAAGAAACATTCTACAGCGCCATCTAGCGAAGACACGCTGAACTACAGAGTAGCTGCTAATACTATATCGCGATATGAACAATTCTCTCGTCGATAAGCATATATACAACTTCCCATATATCAATAGTTGGGACGCATCTCGCCAGGTATGATTCCGTGGCCTTGCCGGAGGATCACGACAAGATGATAGATTTGAGAGTTTATTGAAATTCAATATAGATGAGAAGGGAAGCAAAAGTATAATTTCAATGTGCATTATTGAGGATAGTGATAAATTGATTGATGAATTCATGACGAATAAGAAAGCGAATTTTAATATTATAAAGTTTTATTTTACTAAGCATGTAATACCATTCCATACATTTAAAAAACAACTCACTGAAAGGATTTTACGACATTGAAGCGCTAAATAAAAAAAAAACTAAACAAGGCTTTGTTGTACACCAAAGGCTGAAATTGCTCTCCATTCACAAAGAGAAAAACCGTTTTAGTAAAAATTGTGCACAACAAAATTGTTAAGTGGATTCTTAAGTTTTAAATTGTTAAAAGAAGAAAGCCCTTTGGGATTTGTCCCAGTATTATATATATCTTGTATTAGAAGTGACGTTTGTAGAAGCTTTTTGTTGTTGTTTTCTGTGTCATAATATACATTTACATAATATGACAATAGAACATGTTCTAACCATTATGTGTTTAAATCGGCTTTTTTAAATTGGCACTGCGTCAAGTAAGGTCAGTTTTGGGACCCTATTCCAATGATCTATTAATAGTATATCACAGGTAAATAAGCGAAGAGGTCGGGGCTCAGCATTATACTTTTCATTCCATAATTTATTTGAAGTGGTCATAGATTTCATAAGAGGTCCAAAAATACCAAAAAGAAAAACAGATTCTGATTTCGAATTTACGATTTGCTCTACTCTTGGTTTTAATTGTCGACTCATTGAGAGATCTTTTGATGATATACGCATGAGGCACCGGTTTTCTTTTCTCTCTCTTTTCATATTCATGTTATTAAAATTAAAGGTCACAAAATGAATAACAAAGTAAGTGTAAAATTTCTGTAAACGTCAATATCCACTTTAGTGCAGATAATCTGAGCAGATATATGTTCATATATAATGTGTATGTATGTGGGTATAAATCTTTCTTGTTTTTGGAGGTACTGGAGAACTTCTTGTTTACATTACATAACAAAAGTTGAAGACATGACCCTGATTTAGTGATTGAGGTAAATAGCTAAATTACAGTTATATTATTTTAAATGTCACAGAGAGATGGATGTGTGGCTACCCTGCTGCAAGTACGTAGGTGTGAGGCTGACCTGTCGCTGTTGCACGCCGCGCCCGCAACTGAAGCGCGCGCCGCGCTGGTCGCTTATCGCGTGCTCGCGCCGCGCCTCGTGCTGCGACTGATACCCTGCGGAGGGACTGGTGCTAAGTGCCGTAAGATATTCTTTGTTACTTACAGTTCGCAAGAAATATTTCTCACTTGCTTTATCAGCAGGTTCTATCGCTTTTTAGGGTTCCGTAGTCTTAACGTCCTATAGTTTCGTCTGCCTGAGAGTTCTTAAATGGCCTCTTGAGCCTTAAATGTAGGATTGATTGTAGTCGAAATAGAATATAAAACATAGAAATAATTAAAGATTTCAACAATTAGTTTTTATAGTATAATAATAGATTGTAGATATTATTTACTTGAAAAACTATTTTTTTGATTTTTGGTTATTTATTTACTTAAATAAATTAGGCTATGTCTGGAAAACGAAATAAAATCAAACCACTACACTTCTAGTTACTTCTTAGATTAAAAACCTAGAAAATATACGTAAGAGATAAACTTTTCAAAAGTCTTTGCATGTAACTTAGGGTTGGATTGTGAGCTGGACGCAGGTGAGCTAAAGAGTGAGCTGGGCACGTCGACGCTCAGACCGAGCAAGGCACTAGTGGTGGGGCGGCGCACGTGCTATCGGCTGCGGGTCACCAACATCACGCCACTGCCCACCACAGTGCGCTTTGATGAACCTATAGGTGTGTCTATATTACTATATATGAAAAGCACATCATCACAGCACACATATCAGCAGCCTTTAATAGTCCACTGTTGGACTAGGCCTCTCCTTAGAAAGGAGGTTTTGGCCTACTATACCACGCTGGCTAAACGGGTTGGTATAGGGTTTGTGTCAAGTTTTCCTTCTCTCTGCAGTGCTGTTGTCCTGCGTAGTTTGCTCCCTTAGTCGGACACGGAAGTCACCACTCGGACAGCATATAAATGACACATCATATAAAAACCTTACTTGATAAACTACTCGTAATATGGTAAATTTAATTTCAAGTTTCAAAAACAAACGTAGTAATTAATGAGTAGTAGATTTATATCTCAGTAATTTATTTATAATTCTCTATTATATTTATAATGTACTAATAGAGCTTGTACTAAAGAGAAAAGAGAAAAGGGAAACGAAGCTTACATCAAGAATAATAAACTTATTGTAAGAGGCAAACCAGAAGCTGAAAAGAGAAAAAGAGAAATTTCTATGTCACCTAGAAACATACAGAAACAACCTAACTCCACGGAGGGGAATAATCTTATTGCCCCCTCTAAAATGCACAAAACCGATGCATTTGCATACATGAGAGCCAGATCCTTTTCACTGGCAGAGAAACAAACTCAACCTCATAAGGCATAGAAATTATCCGACACCGGAAACGTGAAGAACCTAATTGCAATTAAAAAAAACATTCTAGCAAAACACAAACAGATCCCCAATACGGTTGGTCACCGCGGGGAGATAGACCGTACCCCCCTAAAGCCTATAGTAAGTAGATTCAAAAGTCCGAACAAACACGCCTCCCAAAAAAATGAACAAAAACAAAGAACAAGACTAAATATAGCCACACTAAACACAAGATCGTTAAAATCCCAAGAATCCCTACTCGAATTAGAAAATGCATTGGAAACCGTAAACTGGAATATTTTAGGCTTAAGCGAAGTGAGGAGAGCTGAGGAGAGAACTGAAGAACATGACAAATATATATTTTACTACAAAAACGTAAAAGCTGGCCTTCATGGAGTAGGATTTATGGTTAAGAAATACCTCAAAAATGAAATAATAGAGTTTCTTGGCATATCAGATAGGATAGCAGTTTTAAATATCAAATTACCTGGCCATAAACAACCATCCTCAATCGTTCAAATATATGCCCCGACTGATATCACCAAAGAAGAAATAAAAAACGATTTCTACAACAAACTCAATGAAATAATGCCGACTTTGTATAAAACCATAATCGTATTAGGCGACTTCAATGGCCAAATAGGAAAGAGAAGAACCAACGAGGACAAAGTACTCGGGCCACATACAACAGGCAAAAGGAACGACAACGGGCAAAGATTGATAAACTTCGCGTTGGAAAACAACCTCTATATCATGAACAGCTACTACAATAGAAATCCTAATAGGAAGTGGACATGGGTGTCACCGAATAGTAAGATAAGAAATGAAATAGACTACATTATCACAAACAAACCAAGATTGTTCTTAAACATAAACATTGTCAATCAATTCAACTACAACACAGACCACAGATTACTTAGAGGACAACTTTATACACGAGAACCAAAAACATCAAGGAAAAATATTTACAACACGAAACCAGTAGCTTTATCAATCTCGGAAAATATTCTAGAGGCCTTACACACTAATTTAAAAAAAATTGATAATCTTAAAGAAGTTCAAGTAAAGTACGACGCTCTGGAAAAGGAATTAAAAGAAACTGAAAACAAATTGAGAACAACAAGAGAGAAAAAAGACAAACTAGGTCCAGAAGCAAGGAAGTTGATCATGCAAAGAAAAACATTGATTAGAGATAGGAAAAATAACAAAAAAGAAATAACAAATCTGAGCAAAGAAATAAACCTGCAAATCCGAAAACACAGAGAGAAATTAAGAACCGAAACACTAAATTACCATATAGAAAAATCAGGTGGAGTCAAGAAAGCATGGGTCGAATTAAGAGACAACTTTACTTGGATCGACAACATAAAACACCACAGAAACAAGAAAAATAACACAAATAGAATCGAAATATTAAAAGTAGCAACAGAATATTACCGTGAATTATACAACAACGATGTAACAATAGAGGAATCCATGCAGCTAGTAAACTGGGCCAAAACGGACGAAGAAGGGACCCCCTGCATACTGAGAGATGAAGTCAATAAGGCTATCAAATCACAGAAGAAAGGAAAAACGCCTGGAGGAGATTGCATATCTAACGAACTGCTAATAGGATCATCCAAAGTAACGTTAAACACTATCACAGAGTTATTTAATGAAATTTTGCGCACAGAATACATACCTCAACAGTGGACTATATCAACCATTATATTATTACACAAAAAAGGGAAGAAAGATGAAATAGCCAACTACAGACCTATCAGCTTGATGTCAAACGTGTACAAAGTATTCTCAAAAATACTGCTAGATCGTTTAACAAAAACTTTGGATGAAAACCAACCCAAAGAACAAGCAGGTTTTCGCAGTGAATTCTCAACAATAGATCATATCCACTCTATAAAGCAAGTAATTCAGAAATGTAACGAATACAATATTACCTTTTACCTGGCGTTCGTGGATTACAACAAAGCGTTTGACTCTCTAAAACACGCAAAAATTTGGGAAGCCTTAGAAATACAAGGAGTGGAGAAAAAGTATATTCGATTGATTATCAACATATATAAGAACATGAAAGCAAAAATAAGAACTGAAAGAGATGGAGATTTTTTTCCGATTAAGAGAGGAGTAAGACAAGGAGATCCTTTGTCACCCAAACTTTTTTCAGCAGTTCTCGAATACGTGTTTAGACACCTCGAGTGGGATAACTACGGATTAAATATCAACGGAGTGCGACTAAACCACCTAAGATTTGCAGACGATATAATAATAATTTCCGAAGATTCAAAAAGTTTACAAAAGATGTTAGAACAACTGGTGTATGAAAGTGACAAAGTGGGACTGTCCATGAATACGGCAAAAACCAAAACAATGTTAAACTCGGTAAGCATCCCTATTATTGTTAACGGAAAAACTATAGAATATGTGAGGGAATACACGTACCTCGGACAGATCATATCTCCAATAGACCTAACCACGAAAGAAATAAACAACAGAGTCACTTTGGCATGGAAAAGGTACTGGTCTCTCAAGGAGGTAATGAAAAACCCACTAGTACCACTGAGAGCGAAGAGCAAAATATTTAATTCGTGTATTCTGCCTGTCATGACATATGGATGCCAAACCTGGAGCTTAACTAATCATAATATACATAAATTAGAAACTTGTCAACACAATATAGAACGAAGCATACTTAACATCAAATTAAAAGATAAAATAAAACTGGATACTATAAGGAAGAAAACTAGAATCACAGATGTTACCTATTGTATTAAAAAGCTAAAATGGAGGTGGGCAGGACATATGATTAGAAGTAATAAGGATAAATGGTCTAAGGACATAACGGAGTGGTGCCCGAGACAATACAAAAGAAGGAAAGGGAGACAGCGTCGCAGATGGGAAGACGAGATTAAAAAAATAGCGGGACTTACTTGGGAAAGACAAGCACATAATCGCATTCGATGGCGAACTCTAGGGGAGGCCTATGCTAGACAGCAAGACAATCTTCACGTACCGGTGTCAGACAATTAAATAAGTTATTGTAACTATATTGTAAGAAAGATTGTTAAATAAAGGCTATTATTATTATTATTATTAATAGAGCTTGGCTGAATATTAGAGATAGCGCAAAGCTTGGCCCAAATAGCTCAACCGGAGTGATGCCACAGCTGCACAGAATATCACTGTTAAGCAATTATTTCGTTACTTGATGATGATGTGCACAAGTAGTTAATGGTTCATATTAATCTACCACTCGTGTCTTAAACCGTCTTTACAATATTTAAAAACCTCCACTACGAGTGGATTTGCAGACTGAATATTTTGCGAGCAAGAGGATCTCAAAATAGGAGAGTTTACTCGCGTAAGCAAATAAGTTTCAAAGGAAAGGCACTTCCTGACGACGAAGTTGTAGTCAAACGTGAAACGTCGGCGAATTCTAACAAAGCTAACTGTGTAAGTGGCGTGGTGTGCTCGAGCCAAGTATTGGCAAATATTACAAATTTCGGATATTACGTTATTGAAGTTAGGAAGACTATTTGTTTGTGGTTTATTTTGTTCTCCTTCCTTCTTTCTGATTTCTCAGACTTCAAACGAAATAAATAATTATTGTGAAGAGTTACATCGTAGAAGTAATTTTAATAAAATTAAATTTTCTATTAAATGAAAGACTTTTCGTAACTGAATGGGACGTAATTATTAATTTCGCAAACTCTTTCTTCAATTACAAAATTATCAAGTTTTGAGTGTTTCATGCTTAAGACACTTGTGTCAATAGAGAATTCTAGAAAACATTTCTCGAATTTTTGAATATTGTAAGACCAGTTATATACCTAACAAAATTAGTCAAACAAAAACCAAGTCAGCGTTGTTTCTGTTTCATTTGTCTCTTCTGAATACGAGAATTTATTCGTATTACCTACAAACCATGGAAACCCCTGATGTTTGGCCACGGTAGTTGTCTGTTGATCATAGCTAGTTTAACCTTTTATATTATAAGTGTTTTTTATCTCAGTGGTTGTGGTCTCGGCTGCCTGTTGAACTATAGGCGGCTTCACCGGCAGTCTAACAGTAACCTTTTTCATCATCAGCCTATCGCAGTCCACTGCTGGACATAGGCCTCTCCCATTGCACGCCACTTAGGTCGATTTTGGACTTCTCGCATCCAGCTCCTACCCGCCATCTTGCGCAAATCGTCACCACCTGGCCTGTGGACGTCCTTCACTACGTTTACCGAGAGGCGGTCTCCACCCAAGACCTCGTTTTCTCCAAGGGTTGTCGATTCTGCGGCTAACAGTAACCTTATCTACCTTTAAATGAAGAAAACATGACACAAGTCAAAGGTTTTGGTTCCTGGGTTAATGAAATGATGTTAAATGAATGAATTGGATCCGTTTAAAACTAATACTTTATTATAAATGCGTATACCACAAGAATGCTTCAAGTAAGTTTGTATATCGTATTGTGTTTGAGATTATTAATTTAGGTTGTTGTTGCAGATGGCACAGAATTTCTTAAAGCGAAATTCTTTCCAAAAGTTTTCAACTTGAGAAGTTACGGAGAAGTGGTAATAAGGGTAAGAGAACTGTGTAATTTACAAGCTTGTTATTAACTGATGATTCTAAAAGGGTACTCTGACCAAGGCCAGTGAATCTATGTGAAGATAAGGATAATTTACTTTAGTATTACTACCTATTGAGAGGCATGTGGAGCTAAACGAACGTTGGAGGTGGTAGGCGATGGCAGCACTAAGTAATTACCTACGATGCTCGTGGAGCTGAAATAATTATTTTTTGTTAAACGTGAGCAATATGGTTTGTTGGTACTCCTTGAGCTTCGTTGAGCAGTGGATGACAATAGGCTAATGATGATGATGAAACGCCTCAGGCTGTCCAACTGACTCATCATGCATTATGTTTAACCGTGATTACTAATGACTAGGTATTTGTTTTGTACGAGTACAAGTATACTTAATCCAAGAAACAAAGTAACTGCGGTTTGTATGAGGTTGTAATAATATCTACAGCCGACATGGCAATGAGTCTCCTTCATAGTTTACAGCATAATTTTGTATTTCAGGTCGAGTATAATTTCATATGATAATTAACATTATAAATGTTCATAAACGATCATATATATAATTTTTGAGTAATTATTATTATTAGACAGACACTAGAAATCGTACAGTAACAGTGAATATTGTTTATTATATCATATATTATGTATTATTTCAAGATATAACATTTAAACAGTTTTGTTTACTGCGGCAAAATGACAGCGACGTAACATTTAAATAAAACTGATTTTTATTTTAATAAACAGGCATAAGGTATCCAGAAAAGTTTGTATGAATTTTCGAGGTTGTTTATTAAAAGAGAAATTACTGGCCTCTTGGCGATTAACCTCTTCAAAAACCTTTCAACTCTTTAATGAATAGCTAGATTCTAGTAGCTTTCATATCTTTGACTCTCGTACGAATTAATTACGAATTTCTAAAAGCGTACAAGGCTCCGGTAGAAAGTTATGCGATCTGTTGAATAAGAACGGCGTAAGACTGCTATTTTAGGAGCTTATGATAACGATAAAGAGAATAGAGAAATCTCAGACTAAAATATTACGTAATAATAATAAAGTGAAGCGTCTTTAATATATTTCTTGTTAATTGCATTTTAACAAAATAAGACAATACACTCTATTTGAAATATGATCTGTTATTATTAATATTAGTATAGCTGTATGAAAACAAAAAGCTTTTCATCTTTTTAGTTATTTAAAAATCTGAAATATTTTTTTTTATAACTATTACACATTTTTCATAATGTCCGAAAAATAAAAACGAAATAAATATTTTAAAATTGAAAAAAACCTTTGAAAAATGAACGATAAATGATGATTCAAAACACAGCTGGGCGCAAGCCCTCTGCTGCTCGTGACTATCAACGATTAGTGGAATCACACCATCTGGTGTGAATACCACTTATATCCTATGTGTAATCTATACTAATATTATAAAGCTGAAGAGTTTGTTTGTTTGTTTGAACACGCTAATCTCAGGAACTACTGGTCCGATTTGAAAAATTATTTCAGTGTTAGATAGCCCATTTATCGAGGAAGGCTATAGGCTATATATCATCACGCTAAGACCAATAGGAGCGGAGCACCAATGAAGAATATTACAAAAACGGAGAAAATTTATTACTATTGAGAGACGCAGGCGAAGTTGCGCGGGTCAGCTAGTGCACAATAATAATGTAAATTGGTTGCAGGTCGTCCTGACAGCGGTGAGGGTGTGCGAGCGACGCCTGTTCGTGCACCGCGCGGAGGTGGCGCACACTAACAAACCTCTCTACGTAGTCATTGATGCTGCTGTCGGTGTGAGTATTCATATATTAAATGTATATACTGAAAATCATGCCCGTTTTGGGATAAGAAAAGCCAGAAGTGTTGACTGCCTTAGGTCAGCAAAAATGAATAAAATTCAATAGTTTACAGTGTAAAAGGCTTAATAAATGAAATATAAATCAGGAAACAAATATTTGTTTCCTATTTTTGTACCCTTTTAAAAATTACGTAGACCATTTTACAGTATAACATTCGCCAGCTGCTGGAAACAAAGTGTCTTCTCCCACGATAATAATATAGCCTCCTATCTATACATTATTACATACATTATACATTACAAATAAATAAAATTGAAATGTCAGTTTGTAATGTCAAAATAATAGGTTGTTTTTCATGCTCACACGGTCATTTGCACGATACCTATGCCTAAAAACCAGTTCAACTTCTTTTTTGTCTGTCCGTATGTTTGTTCCGTGTAATATTTTCGATTTTTATAATATTTTACTACCAGGTAGCTGTCTATATAAGGAGAAACTTAGTTTATTTTTTCTTGCAGAAAAACCATATTAAATTTACGGTCTTGTTTCTTCCATTGACGAGTATAACTTGAACTCTCATTATGTAGAGTTTGTACTATGTCAGGTCAGGTTGTGTTTTAAGTGGCCGCTTTTACATAATTCTTACACTTTAGGAACGTTCTCGAATTGTCATTGTTCTTTATTAGTGTGTGTGCATAGTAGACAGCTTCGACACGTACCTAAGTAATCTGTCCCGAGTTACAACGACCAAACATCGAAACGTAATACAAAAAGCCATTTACAAGAATAGGGATAATGTGTTTATTAAAAATACCCAGAACAATGAAAGTTTAATAGAAGCTTTTGATATAAGCAAGAATACAAATCCCAAGATTAAGATGCTCCAATGTTATTACACAAACTAAAAATATAAACAAACAGCCTAATGACTGAGATTGTTTTACGCTGGAACGTGATCTTATTATCACTGTCAATGAGGGCACAGTATGAAGGCGATATTCAAAGTAGAATCGTGTCAAACAGGAAAGATTGACCGAATATGATTAAAATTATAATTAATCACTAGGTATTGCCCGCGGCTTCGCTCGCGTGATTATTTCTTATTTCGTATTACAAACTTTTGAAGTGACAAATTTCCATACAACCAAGGTGAGTGAATTTCCAAAAAATCTTTGCCTAATGTGTGTTTACAACATAAAGACATCAGCTGGTAAAAATTTTAAGTTTATAGGCCCAGTGGTTTAAGTTCTGCGTTGATGATTTAGTCAGTTCTTTAGGGCAAGTAATTTTATATGTGTAGATGTTGGGTTGCCGTTCCGTGTCTCGATGGATTAAGAATACAGAGCATCACCACCAAGAGCTGACTAAGGGATCAAAACTACGAAAGACAAAAGCGCCAACCCGTCTGGCCAGCGTAGTGTAGTAGGGCAAAACCTCATTTCTAAGGAGAGGCCTATGTTCAGCAGTGGACTTCTAGGGGCTGTTGATGATAATGATGAGATTTTAGGTTTTAGGACAACTTGTGAAAAGGATTTGAAGTAAAAATTACACATAATTATACCTATTGCTAATTATTTTTGCAATTTCAATGAATACCTATCTGAAGTCACTGCACTCCACTAGTCAAGCAGGGTATACATATTATTTACAATAACGGGTAACTTCTAATGTTTATAAATTAACTATAATATTTATTACAATAAAACCAGTGAAAGATACAGATATATTTGTTGTGACCACCAACCGGGGTTTTATCTTATCTCTCTGAGAATCAGCATTGTAGTTTGTATACCCAGGTGATGATGAGAAGTGGTTTTATAATATGTGTGTATGTAAATTGTCCTTAAAGTGAATTTTAATATTTTGTATATTTAATATTTAAGTTTTAATCGATTTCAGCTTGTAAAATAAATAAGTGTGCAAAGTAGGAATACCACATTCCAAACAAATAAATTTCCTATCAGTCTTGTTGTTAGATATATGATGTATAGTCGTAATTTACTGTGTGTTTGTGACTTCAAAAGGGATGAGCTTATTGATTCAATTGTTTTTTTGTTCGATGTATTACTTGATTTTTTGGTGTGGCCAAGGGGCCTGTTGGTCTAGTTGACGGGCCTGTTGGTCTAGAGGTTAGTGACCCTGACTGCTAAGCCGGAGGTTGGGGGTTCGATTCCCACCCAGGACAAATATTGTGTGATGAGCACGATCATTTGTTCTGTGTCTGGGTGTAATTTATCTATAATATGTATGTATTTAAAAATATATAAGTATGTTTATCAGCAGTCTGGTTACCATAGCACAGGCTCTGCCTATTTTGGGATCAGACGGCCGTGTGTGAGATGTGTGAGGTATATTATTATTATTATTATTATTTTACCGTTATTTGTGAACTATTTTTTTTATTTTTTTTTATTACTTAGGGTTGATCTATTTTAACTTTGAAGTAAATTCCACCTGTCATCAAATTTATTTGGTGTCGTCGCAAAACTTCTTCCATTCTCATCTATCGTCTGTTTACTGCTTACTCCTTTTTTAGCAATATCTTCTTTTACAAAGTCCATCAATCGTTTTTTTCGTCGTCCTCTACCTCTAATATCCTGACGGATATAAGAGGTAGAGGTATACTTTCAAACATAATTTTTTAAACTAAATTTGGGTAAGAGAGAGATAGGAATGAAAAATAGAACCTAATACAATTCACGATTTATTTGATTAAATGTCGACGGTATTTTTTTAAAGAGTTTTAAATCATTATATGAATCAAAAGAAATAGAGGCTGTCTCATAAAAGTACCAAAACACCTACAATTGCAAAGCCGTAACTTGTTACTAATTTATAAAGTAATGATTTGGATGTAGGTGAGGATTCCCCAAGGTAGCGGTAGCAAGGTAAATTAGGAACACATTTCTGCCACACCATTAAGGGTTTCGTAAGTGTGTACTTAAAGTCATTACCCGCGTTAAAGGAACCTACTAGTGTCTTACTTGGTTCTTAACTTAATTTACTTAGCTACGACGACTCTAGTTGTATTAAACATTCAGTAACAAGTATTTCGCAGTTTTAAGTAGCACGTATGGTCCGTATCACACACAGTTATTGCACGGATAGCGTAGTCGTTTAAGCGGTCAAGCAACAATGGATGTTCTGAGTCTGGGTGTTCTTTGTGTCAGTTACATGTATATTTGTAAAATCTCCACGACATGGGATATCTTCCTAATGTTTTTGGGTTGTGCTAATGAGTTGGCTTTTGAAAAAAATAATGAAAAAGATTTGATCGAACCAGCAGGTGGATAATGGAATTATTCAGAGTTTTTAACCCTCGACAATGGACTACAGCACAGTACAGTACAACAGTATTTCCAAAACTAGAAGTTATTAACAAGGAAACGTTCTAACGTCATAGGAGGCGATTTCTCCCAGTGCAGATAACTGAAATCCATCCGACTGAGTCCGACATAACCATCCGACCGATTTAAGCTGACATCTTAAAACAGAACTACTTCTCAATGGTACTAGTATGTACTACATACTATAAATACTAAACGTTTTGTTTGCAGGGTGTGGAAGTATCTGTGCAAGTTCCTATGGGCGCAGGCATCCCTACCGACGACTTTGTGATTATACGAAGGACACAGGTGCTATAAAGATTTACTTAAATATGTAGCTTAGGTATATCACTTCAAATATTATTATTCACACAAATAAAAATAAATATTTATTTACGGAGAGCACAGAATCGTTTTGGTAATAAAGAAAAAAGGAATTCCTTCTAGTAATTACTTTTTACCTTTGAAACAAAGCAATTTTGATGAAATATAAATAATTCAGAAACATGATATGTACATGCTTTCATCTAATGTTGTATTAAAATGAATAACTGAGTTACGACGTCATAAAAGACCCTCAATTTGATATTACAGTCACAATGTTCTGTAACCCTAATACTACTGCATAATATAAGAGGCTTGCGACCCACGTAATACACCCAACACAGGAAACAATTTTAAATTTAAAGCTTTTGAGAGACATCGTAAAATATTATCAGATGGGACCACCTAGTGTCCATTAACCTAAGGAAATAAGTGTTTGGTCATGTTCTATTACTCACATAGAAGCACTTTTATGTTCCCGGTATACAACATGCTCTTGTTGAGGACGATTTTCTGTACAAAATAAACATGGTACTTGCATACAAAAGTTTACATTTAGAAGAGTGAGAAGAGAAGTAAAAGTAAATTCTGGCTTTACGTAATAAGGTGGAAATTAGCTTGTATCGAAATACATGCCTGCAGCCATTAGTGTACATATTGAAGTTAACTACGCTTCGGCTAAACATTGACCGACTTCATAAAAGGAGGGGGTTTTCAATTTATCGGAATCTTTTTTCTTTTATGTATGTTCACTGATTACTTGAAGATGCCTGAACAGATTTTAAAAGTTCTTTTTTTTTGTTTCGAAAGGTATACTTTCCAAGTGGTCCCATTTAAATTTTATGGAAATCAGTGAAGAGGTTATTTAAAAATCAACAAAAATCTAAAAATTGTACATATCGATGATATTTTCGTTTACACCGAAAGCTTTGTCTCATTGTACCCATATTATATATGAACAAAATACATCTACATTTCACAAAACAAAAACTACTTAATAAAAAGGAGGAGGTTTTCTCCCGGTGTCTACCTTTCGTCAGAAATCAGATTTCTAAATCGGTGCATTTCTGCTAACGCTCGTTCATTGTGGGATTTACTTATTAACAGTTAAGAGGGTTCTACATCCGAAAGAGCTATTCCTTAGTTTTTTTATCGTTAATTTTACATGTCACATCAGCAAACACATTTATCGCTGATTTAAACTGTTCAGAATTCACCAATTTTCTGTTTTCGTTTACACACATTAGTGCGACGAATTGCTCTCTTTTCTGCTGTTTCACTAAGTGGTACTTGAGCGCATTGGTGTCTGGCCAAAGACATACGATGTTCGCTTTACTCAGGTGACTCGTTCGATAGTCGTTCACAAATAAGAGTCGACCGATGTTCGCGTTAGGAAATCATATGTCAATACCAGTTATTTTTTACTTTTTGAAGGCGGGGCCTGGGTGTTTTTGAAGGCGGTTTCTTTTTATTTAAAAATAATTTATGTCTAAACCCTGATAAGTGAATCCAGCGTAGTTGTGACTCAATGTTCATGAAAACAAATAAAAATTTGATAGAATATCAAAGAAACTTTATGTTTATTAAGTATTCTTAGCATTTTGACCGCTGTGAAGTTCGCTTAACTGCTTTAGTGATAATGATTCATTACTCCGCAAAGGCTCTCACATGCTCAACTTCGCTTCGCTCACAACCTACACATTGTAATACTTAATTATTTATTGAGTATACCTTGTTTATTTAACGCTTGGGAGTTCACAGCAACATTTGGCAACGAACTAATATAGACTTATGTAAACTTGCCGCAACACTCGCGGGTTTTACATTAATTAAATTCATTTAAGGTATGCGCACAAACTTATACAACATTTTCATCATACAATTAATGTAAAACTGGTATTGTTCAAACATTTTGGTAGACGCTTTGTACACAATCTTTTTTCACTTGACCCAACTAAAACCTGTAAAAAGCCATTTAAAGAGCAAATATTTCATCATAATTTCAACCGAAAAACGTCCGCTGGATATAGGGCACCCCTAGGGCTCGCCATATCAACCGGTCCTGCCCTGCCCACATTCACTGCGACCTTCTCCAGGGCCTCGGACCACCTCTTTGGTGGCCTCTACCCACGCTGCATCTTCTGGTACGTGGTTGCCACTTGAGAACTTTTTGGCCCCATTGGCCATATTTTACACGAACAATGTCCCTCCCCACTGCCACGTAAGTTCGACAATTCTCCGGGTAATGTCAGTGACCATTTTTCGTCTGCGGATCTCCTCATTCCTGATTGGATCACAAAGAGAAACTCCGAGCATTGCCCTGTCTATTACTCTTTGGGTAACTTTGAGCCTTCTTATGAGGTTCATTTCGAGCGGCCACGTCTCTTTGCTATAAGTCATCACTTTCAACATACACTGGTCAAAAATTTTCGTCTTGAGACACTGCAGTATTTAGGACGAGAAAATGTCATGAACAGCATGACAGCGTTCAGGAACCCTAAACGCTGTCCAGCAAAGTTGGATTTGACTACTAAGTTCTTTTTCAAAATTGAACCTACCTTGCTGGATAGTATGAGATAGTCTTAGGTATAATCGTCAAATAAATTAGTGAGCTTCTGGTCACGACAAGCAGTCAATGAGTAACAAATTTAATTTATGTTTTAAACAAAAAACATCTTAAGTTTGTTCACGCGTTAAGTAAGGGTAAACATGTATGTAGTCTACTGAGGCCTAAACACTTCAAACTTGTGGATCCATAAAACTTTGACAACGTAAGCTTGTAAATGTAAAACATGATGATATCGGCGCCTGTGTTACTCCTTGTCCTGAACTTAGTTTGTGGATTTGTTATTATAAATTCGTAACTAGTTTAGGGAGTAATTAGTTATACATTTAGGGAGCGTTTCTCGAATGTTATTGCCGGGTTCAATGTGGAGGGAGGTGAATCATTGATGTTTAAGCATTTTCATATTTGTGTAGCCAGTTTATCTATCTGTATAAATACAAAATTGTTTTACCTATGTCCGTTAAATACTTTAAACCATCTAACCGATCTGCCCCAAACTAGTTTCATTAGAAAGGTAATAGTATTTTTTTTCGTGTGGAAACCCGCACGGGTTGTCACCTCACTGGAGCTCATGATGAAGTAGATGTCGGAATCGAACCGGCTGAAACCACACGGTGTTCCGTCACATGTGTGTCTACTGCAAGCGACAGCGAAGTCCCTGAGAATCTCGGCAGACCTTAGTCGCCTTAGGCAGCCACACCATTGAGTATAGAGGGCCTCGCCCTCTTTCCAGTTTACACAGTCCTCTCAGGCCTGCTCCTACTAGGCTAATAGGCAGCCTCACCGTTACCCCCAGGCTAGCGCTGATTTAGAACTGAGATCGTTCCCTCTCTGGATCCTGGTGAGAAAGGCATCAATGCGAACATGCTTTTAGACCTCTAAAGTAATGCATTGGGCACATAAAGAACATTTTTTCAAACAAACAATGTAGGTACTTCTTTTTTAGCGTAGTTTACGCTACCAAACCTTGGTTCTGGTTTTACGTTCTGGGTATACGCTAGTATATCATAATAGTGATAACTCTTTTGAGAAATATTGCTTTTCACAATAATTATTATTGTTCTTTAGTGAACTTAAGAAAAGAGACCGTCTGGAATCAATCCAGAGCATACAATCACTAAATGTTCCTCATAAAAAAAACTATGCACGAGTAAAAGTTTTTATTGAGCTGGCAATACTTGACTCGCTCTTACAAAAGGGAATACTGTTTCCGCAATAAGGTCGTGTTTATTACGAAGTTATCTATTTCAATTGTTCGTGTTGTATAAATGCTAATGAGATGCAGATTCTTTTACTGTTCTCTCGAACTGACAAGAGATTATTCTCATCCTGTAGGTCAATGTCTTTTATAGGATAGACTTTATCCTCCATCTTGCATAGAACATTATTGTCCCCTTTTTGCTGTTGGTGTGACTAGATTTGAAAATAATTTATAAACACAGTTGTGATATGTAAAGCCGACCATTTGTATGTTTATATATTGATATATAGTTAGGCACATAGCGTAATTGTCCAATGATTTCATCAAATTATTGAGGTGTATTTCATTTTAACACTTTTATGACCATCGCTGGCGTAGTTAAGAAAAATGTGTATCGTTAAAACAGTCGTTCTCGCTTTCGCATTTGTAATATTAGTTAGTACAGCATTAAATGATTAAATTTTTAATGATTTATCATTTTAATGTTCTAGAGAGAAGAGCATGGTTCTAGAAAGAGACGGCTCTCCACGCCGCAGCAGATATTTATAGAAGAGGATCAGAAGCGTGAATTCGTTAAAGGTTAAAATGTTTCTCGTAAATTATTTTTGGCAATTTTATAAACCAGGGTACGATGTGTATAGCTCACACTTGTAACCACATTGCGCCTTACACCTTTTATTTTCTGTGCGGAAATCCCCTCGGATAACACTTACCGGTGGCAATGTCGGACTCGAACCGACTAAAACCGCACGCCGTCTCAGGTACCAGTAGTCGGGGAACCAGGTGTACCCTAGAAAGGAAATCCCTGGTGCCCCGACGTACCTCGGGCCATCTACGGCGGTTACACGACCCCCCTGTGTGGGAACCCCCATGTTCCCTCTGTGCTCCTGGAAGGGCGCGCGCGCTTCGCAACACGCTCGCCGCCACCCCGGCCTACTTCTGCTGTCGGGGGTGACAGATGGCCTCATTTGTCACCCCCAGGCCTGCGCTTATTGAGGACGGAGGTCGTTCTGCGACTGTGCCTTACACCTTGCACGATATCCAGTAAACAAAAAATTACCCCATAACAAGAGTCTACGTGTCGTAACAATTCGTGGCTACAATAATTATACTGGACCATGCCAAAACAGATTACTTATTTTTTTTAAATATAAGTTTTAGAATCTCAGTTCTCTCATCTATCAGTAAATTACAGTAAAAAACCTAAAATCATTCTTACACCAGAAACCAATTAAATAACTTATTTATTGGTATCCAAATGAGGAGTCATTTTTTTGCGTTCGTTCGTTTTAAAAAAAAAAGTGTAACATTTTTCCTCTCGCTTTCCTAAAATCTGTGATTTATCAAAAAAGACGGAAGCATGTAACAGGAAGTAGAAGAATGGCGTGCCAGATGCCAGAGCATATCGTTCCTTTTTGTTTTTTATTAAAATAACAATTAAGTTACAAAATAATGTACGTATTTCATTTTACAAAAAGATATAAAATAAAAAATACATACAGTAGAACATAGAACCTCCTCCTTTTTTGAAGTCGGTTAAAAATAAAAACCTTTTTTTATTTTATTTTTTATTATAAGTCTACCTTACATAAGAACTGTTTGTCTGCAGCACCACTTTTTTTTTGTTCGCTTCAAAATTTATAATCGCTACTTCAGTTTTAGGTTAAAACATGAAACGTATCAATCAGTCACATTCATTTCATTTCCAGTTACTTCATTTATGGTAAAAGGCATCACTCCCAAGGTCAAGGTCACGAACGAGGCCGTAATGTTGTAGTTTCCAAACCCAACTTTGGACATTATACCCAAATGTTCCATCCACAGAACTCGTTACGTACCAACTTTTATTTAGTTCGAATCACGCATCATTACTGTATTTTCACTGTAGCAGTTAGTTGGAGATTTACAGAATACGAAATCTTTCTGCCGCATTTAGCCTAGTTTCTCAGAGAAAATGTGTTTAAATGAAAGGGAGCGTGAATTATACTCGTATCTCGGTTTACTGAGCTCACTTTGTACAATAAGTTGCAGCGGAAGTTTCGTTCCTTTGTTTTATTTGAAAGCAATTTCAAGAAAGTGAGGTATGCCTAAGCCAGTAAATTAAAAGGCTATCAGTTTATTATGTATTATATAAAATCATTAAAAAGTATTTTAATCTAAAGGTATATCAATACACACTGGGTTAACGTTACAATAGATAGCTTTTTCGAATCTATGAAAAAAAAAGATAGCAAATAATATATTATCGTACTATTTACCACTAAATTAGATTTCGTAGGATAACAAAGAAATTAAGTATTATTAAAAAATATACATTAAATGTCATTAAGAACTGCAGCTATATGGGGGGCACGGTAGCACTTTCGCAAGACGAGCCAAGCGAAGCGCAAGGGCACTACCTACCTTTTCTCGAAGTGCTTCGTCGTTTTTTGGAACTCTTATAACTTGGGTTTAAATTACACCGGATAAAGATAGCATAGCTCTTGTACATTAGATTTTACTGATATCACTGATAATTTTGAAGTCCTACAAAGCTGGTATGTAAGCTAGTACTCGTATTAGTACGCAAACAGCCACAAAATTCTAAAACTTGAAACTTTTACCCCCTAACCGATTAAACTAGGTGATGGAAATTCGTATGAGTTTTCTGAAAATTTGAATGCTAGGGTCTTAAAATTGATTAGGGACTGCTTGATATAAATAATAAAATACATATTTGAATTGAACATTTTTATGTAAAATGTTGCCAAGACGGAACTGCACTGCACTGACTTGCACTGTGAAAAAGTTATCAGATCTCATGTAGTGTCAAGCTTCTAACTCTACACGACCTATAATAAGGAATGAGCGGTTGTATCGCAGTTCGTAATTTTTAAAGTACGAAACACCAAATAAAAAATAAACACGTGAGTGAAGCCGCGGGTAATGCTAGTATAATAATATAATATGATTTGAGTAGAGATGGAGTCAAGTAGTTGGTAACAGATCAGAGTAGTGGTTTAAGCGGCAGCTACGCCGCTTCCTACTACGCTGAGTGTGGTGGGTTCGATGCCCACATGGGACAATGTCAGACAAATTTGTGTGATCCACAAATTATCGTTTTGAGCCTCAGTGTTTTTTGTGTCCGTTTCATGTATGTTTGTGAAAACCCCCACGAAACCGGATATATTCCAAGTGCGAAAGTTGTCTTTAAAAAAAATATTTGTAAACAACCGCTGAAAAACCATTCCATTTACGTCGCACAGTGCAGTAATTAAATTCCAAATGATATTCAGTAATAACCATGAGCTCTGTGAAACAGACAAAAGAATTGCAATAATAGTATTATTAACTCAAGGAAGTCTAGTCCAGCATTCACTTAATAAATACCACAGTCGGAGCTTTAAATGGATTCTCGCAAAATAATTTGCATTTGCTTTGTTGAACAACGCGGGACAGAGATTATGTAAGATTTGAATTTTCACTCGTTGGAACACAGCGGGACGTTTGACGTCATTTATTATTTTCAATGTTTATCTGTTTTATTGTCAGCACAATAGAAGACGAGACGAGGTAAGTGACCCTGTTATACGGTCGCTTATATTCGTCCATAGCACTGGCTTGAGAATTGTGGGGATTTTCGGACCAAATTAGTTCATGAGTCTGCATTTATACTGCAAGCGTCTTCGTTGGTGAACTCTTTATTGTGTTAAATTTAGAAAACTTTAATAAATTTAACAAGGATTATATCAACTTTAAGCCACCCTGACAACGCTTATTATCCATACATGAAAGTGAATTTGATTGTTTGTTACGCTTTCACTCCTAAATTACCACACTGATTACATACATTGACTACTAAAGCTACATTTTTACCGTGATAACCGACCTACATGCGCTCGGAGTCGCGGGAAAAGTAAGTATACAATAATCTGTTACTATTTATTAAAGGTGTACGATTTTACGCAACTGTCTATTGTGACGGTGTCAGACGTCACACTGCCGTTGCGACGATATCCAATTAGGAAGCTTTCCTCCTTGAGGAAGGGCTCATATCAGGTCCGAAACAAGTCGGTTATCTTCTAAACTCAAGTAAACAAGTATAATGGATACCACTAAAAACAGTTTAGACGTTCTTATGTTTAAAAAAAATATCATCAAAAAATTATAGTTTAAAAAAACTAAAAAACACGGTTTCTATAGAAACCCAAACTAAAAAATAGAAAATAAATTTGAAAAAAAGCGTTGGGTGCCTGTTGTCAATAGTAAAAAGCACCTTACGCTTTTTTTTCAATTTTTTTTTCTATTTTTTAGTTTGATTTTCTATAGAAAGCGTGTTTTTTAGTTTCTTTAAACTATTTTTTTTTTATTTATTTTTTTAAATTAGTGTATTGCCATTTGTTCTCGATTTATCTACAAAGTTTGAAGCACCCTACGCTTTTTTTTCAATTTTTTTTTCTATTTTTTAGTTTGATTTTCTATAGAAAGCGTGTTTTTTAGTTTCTTTAAACTATTTTTTTTTTAATTTTTTTTTAATTAGTGTATTGCCATTTGTCCTCGATTTATCTACAAAGTTTGAACGAATTCGGACCGTTTAAAGTCAGTCGAAATCACGCCCAAAGGAGTCGGTAACAAACATACAAACAAACAAACAAGTGAAGCTAATATAAAGCATGTAAAAACCAAACACACGAAGTGAAATCCAGTAAAAAAATGACCATATAGAAATACCGCGACCTATTTATAGATATATATCGTCCACTACACTTAGATCATTTATCGATTTAAGAATTTCTTAAATTGTTTTAGCAAATATATGTCACTGTCACACCGAAATGAAGTACATTCCACCAGCGAAGAAACAGTCTCTACCGCTGAGAGATGGTGAAGCCACACCAATTGAGATTGGTAATGTTTTCTCTTACATTACAGTATAATATTAAGACGAAAATCGATCTAGGTGGCGTGCAATGGGAGAGGCCCATGTCCAGCAGTGAACTGCGATAGGCTGATGGAGCGCCACGCTTCGGCTCACATGGACCGGCTCAACAGGAGTCATACCACGTTCTCACAGGACATCAATATTAAGCAATTGTTTCATTGACTTTCACTAAGTGAGTGGGGTTATTGGAGAAACTTCCCCTCCTCGCCTCTCCAAGATCCGGGCGGTGAGGCACTCAACACATCGAAATCACTCGTGACTCTTGAGTTACAAGCCCATGAGCGGTGGTAGTCACTTACCATCAGGTGACGCTTCTGATCGTTTGCCTGCTTTAACATAGGAGTACTACTAACATATTTTATAAAAAATTAATAAACAATAATAAACCTCACACATCCCACACACGCTCGTCTGATCCCTAACTAGGCAGACCCTGTACTATAATAACCAGACTTCTGTAATCTACGTGCCTCACAACTCAACGCTCGTTTGGCCTCAACCTAAATATGGTATCTTACATAGATTGTTAGTAATCGAGAAAACAACAGTCTATCGAACTGCGTAACTAGATGAAATAGATAAAGGAACCACTAGAAACGTTTTATGTGCTCGAGTTGATTGATCATGACTACAATATTTTACGATCAAAACAGAATTAATCTGAAAACAGAACTATCTATCACTTTAATTGTTTTAGTTAAATAGTTAATTGAGTTCGATAGTTATGTTTTGGATCGATAAATGGGTTGGTTGAACTATGAACTCGAACTTGTAGTTACTAGACAATTTCATCATATAAAATTGGAGTGTCTGTTTGTAATATTAAAATAACGGCTTTTTACTAAATGCATATGTATGTTTACACGGTACATATGCCAAAATATCATTTTTTTACAATTTTTGTCTGTCTGTCTGTTTGTTCCGGGTAATATCTGGAACGGCTGGACCGATTTCGACGGGACTTTCACTGGCAGATAGCTGATGACATAAGGAGTCACTAAGCCTACTTTTTTTGGACTAGCTTCGCCCCGCGGCGTTGCCCGCGGTTATAACAACAAACGCGGGTAACACCGCGGGTCTCAGCTAGTTCTTTATAATTTTGCTCATTTTTAAATAAATTTTATCATTAATTGTATTCAATGATTTGCCTTATTCCATTCTGTTTTATATTTTTATTCATTATTTTATTTTTCATTTCAAATTAGCATATGAATGTATTTTAAAATACTTTATTCGAATACTGTCTATTTTCATAACTTGTAACGTTGTTGTGTTGTGTTGGACGCATTTGTTAAACGTGACATCAGCAGGTTCTTCTCGTAAACTGTTTTCTATGTGATATTATGTTGCTTGAATGTAATTATTATTATCAGCCGAACTTCCAGAACAGAGAATTTTAATCCTCAAAGACAGTGACGTTGTTTTTCCTTCTCAGTGACTGAACCACCACCATTGACCCGATTGTGCCGCTGCTTTCCCCACAGCCAGCCATTTATGCGAGATACCCCAGAATCTATCTCACTCGAGTTCATCAACGTGCCCTTAAGACAAGGTGAGGGATCTGACTTTAGAATAAAATAGAAATATGTATGGATATAAAAGTTGTAATTTGGCTTGTATACGCTTTCAATAATTTAAAAAAATGCTGCACCGAGTAAGCCTTAATTTTGAGACGATAGACATCACTTCAAACATGGTTTCATCTTTTTTTTCGCGTCAGTTTTGTTCCTCATTTCTGATATATGCAACTACAGAGGGTCACAGCGAAGCGTGGCTGGATACAGCTTGTTTATACATACAAATAAATAAAATTGAAGTGTCTGTTTGTAATATTAACATAATAGGGGTTTTTCATGCTCACACGGTTATTTGCAAGATACCTATGCCTTAAACTCCGTTTTTTTGTCTGTGTGTCTGCTTATTTCAGGTAGGTAATCCCCTAAACGGCTGGACCGATTTTGATAATATTTTACTACCAAGTAGCTGTCTATACGGAGAGTAAATTAGGCTATTTTTCCTCTCAGGAAAACCCTATAAAAGTTTGCCCGGTCCGGGAATCGAACCCACTACGGCAGCGCTTTTCAAATTCCACGCGAGCGAAGTCTCGGGTACCAGCTACTTTATTTATAAATATGTATAAAGCCTTGTATTTATTTGTACTTTAAAGTCAAATTGTGTTCACAAATAACACTACCTGCTCTGGACTACCGAAAAAATTACCCTTCAAATCGTGTTCACAACCAGACATATTGACAGACAAGCAAACGAGCAGACTTCAATCACCAGATCTTAAGTAACCACCACTGCCTTTACATTATTAAGCTCCATATATGTTTATGTTTGGATGTGTTAAAAGTACGAGAACGTCGTGTAATCATTTACAACGAGTCGGTGGTGACGGCTCACTGGAGCACCGCGTTCCGCAGGTGGCCGAGGCGACGCAAGAGGACTATTAACACAGGTATTTCGAGTACAGCTAAATCCCATCAGCAACACATCAAAAATTAGTATCAGCATCGCATAAACTCAAATTCAATTATATTATTTAATTATACTCTCTTCCAGTCTCGACGCAGTTTTTTAGTATTTATTTACTATAAACCTATATCTGTAGTATTTCTTAGATATAATTTGTAAAACTGAAATATTTGCGTAATTATTTTTCAATGATAACTAAATATTCTCTCATTCGCTTCTACTGAAATATTACTACGAAATTAAAGACAGAAAATGCTGTGACTAAACGTCTATAGCATGTGCAATTCACAGGTCCTGTCTTTCTTGAACTATTGCCAAATCTCCTCTAAATACCATCCTGATAAGTAATGTTTCTTCTCTTTTATTGCTTTTCGTTGTTAGCCCCCTTTTTGTTTCATAATACTAGCAATAGTACCCTAACATATACCCATAGCAACTGGAATTAACCAGACATTCTTGATGTTGAAGGAAACTTTCTTTGCAATGCAGAAGTTCCACCTCTACTCTGAGTTCTGCAACTTTAATATTTTGGTTTCAATAAAGGTAGTGCAGCATGTATGCGTTCAGTATGCTTATTATAATGTTAGTCGTAGAAGTGTTCATATATGCTTACAAAATTAACGTTGCTTGCAGTAGTTTTAAGAAATTTGTATTGTCTTATATTTTATGCCTTTACTTTATGTAAATAACCTTTCATGGGAGATTAGTTCCTGCATAATATGATTTTAGAAGAAATGATTACTTGTCGAATAATAACAAAACAGTCGGTTTCACTTGGCTTTTGGCAACCCCCTATCCAAGTTTATTTATAGACTTGTAGGTCTGCGAATAGTTGGAAGAAATACTGGTTCCTAAAAGAAGCAATGAAGGACAAGAATCTACACATATCAACAAAAAGCAAAATATTTAACACATGCATCCTGCCTGTATTGGTATATGGGAGCGAAACATGGGCTTTAACAAAAAACGTAGCAAAAAAACTCTCCATATGCCAACATGAAATGGAAAGGAGTATGAGAGGGAGCAAAAGAAAAGATAAAGTAAGGAATAGCAGCATCAGAAGCAAGACTAAGGTTAAGACTAAGACATAAATTTCAAAATAAGAAGACAAAAGTGGAAATGGGCGCAACACATGATTAGAGAGAAGGATAAATGGAGTAAAATAATCACATAATGGTACCCAAGGGATGTAAAAGAAAGAGAAGTTGACCACAGAGGTTGGAGGATGACATTAGACAAGTCGCGGGAATAACATGGGTAGAGTGACCATAGAAAGGCTAGAATGAAGAAGATTGGAGGAGGCCTTTGCCACCTAGCAAACGGACACACAAAAATGGAAAAAAAGAATGGTGTTTGAATGACAAAGATGAAAGAACAAATAAGTACATGGTACCCGAAGTATTAAACAGAATAGACTTATTAAAGGAAAATCCTAAAATAAGTACCGGGAAATTAAATAAAAGCCTGAAGGATGTGCTGTTAAAGGTTAATTAATCTTTTTGTTTATGACTGCATATTGTGATTTAGAAAATGTCCTTATAAAGTTGTCTTAAATATCTAATAATAGTTTTTATAGTTCTATAGTATCTACCTTAATGATATTACTTGTCCAACTTAATTAGAATTAATGATTACTTGTCCAACAATGACAACACTGTCGGTTTCACTAGGCTTTTGGCAACCCTATACAAGTTTATTTATAGAGTTTTTAGGTCTACCCGGGTAGGTTCGCAGTATTTCAAGCTACACGGATGTACCAAAATGTTATTTATCATAAGCGTTGCTATAATTTCTTGAACCGCTTCTTGTGACTAACTACGGTCTGCTATGCTAGGGTAACCTTCTCGGATCTAAATCTTTTCATTGCCTCGTCAAATCTTGAATATAATCGTGATCGTGCTGATCATGGTTATTTCCATGATTTGAGATGATTATGATGACGAAAGACTTTCAAATACTGAAACTTGAGAAGACAATTTGATGATAATAATTAAAGAAAAAGATGCTAAGAAAAAAAAATTAACTTCGCGTTAGTTTCATTTCTGAGGTGCTCCTATTTTTTGTAGCTACCAGATATGCTTTACAGACAAATGGGCTGATGAAGTGTGCGAGTCAGGCGTGGCACTAGCGTGCTGCCCGGCGAGCGGCACGCTGGCGTCTCGAGCTCAGGTCGAGCTGCGCGTGCAGGTGTACGCGGACTGCTGGGGACTTTACCGGGACCAGATACTTATTCAGGTCAATATTTTACTTGGACTTGTTTTTAATTCAACGTAACATAGCCTGATGCATCTGTATGAACTCTATGTGAGCCGCTGAGGAGTTGGGTACTCTACGGATAGGCATGGCAGCAACATCAGGGCCATAATGTGAACAGATGGCCCGGTGGGGTATAGTTCCACCTAAACATAATATTGCATTGTGATCAAGTTTACCTAAAACATACATGCATTAGAAATTAAATAAAAGCTTTGAAAAAAAACCGAAATTACACGGGACTAAAATAAAATCTGTAAACCTCAATTTCGGGGCATATTTATTTTTACGGTTTTGATTACGTGTGTATTTATTAGTATATGTTTCAAGTAGTGTGACGCCTGCCAATGTCGCTTATATGCCAGCAAGCTTCACTCCTTGAAAATATAGTTCTGAATAAAATCCTGTATATCTCGACTATTTATGAACCTATAAATATTTGTTCCACTTGTGAATATATGATCTTTAGCTAACGAATACCAACAAGATTTCCTTTACTATCTTAGAACCGCAAGTAATATTTTAATTAATGTTTTTGTCCTCGCTGGCGTGGGTTACGAGTTATATGTAAGTGTTTATATTAAGCTTACGGCTATGGACATTCGTTAAACGTTACGCGCTATTGTAAAATTTTATTGTTCTATGTAGTATTGTACAAAGTTGTGATCAAAATTGATTAATTATGTAATAATATGTAGGTACATCAATTTACATACTTTAATTGTAAAAACTCATTTTTTTAAATAATCTATATATCTTTTAAATTTTTATATCTTCCTCCGAGCCTTTTTGCCCAAACTAAAACCCAAGTACTATAGTTAAACCGCCGTAAGCTTGGCCCTCCTGATGGTTTGGGGGACGCGGGGCGGGGGTGCATTCAACCAATTAGCTAGTGCGTCGCTGTCCGCCGGCAGTGACTGACGTGAAAGCATGGCTGTACGTGTTATTTTTCTTGAGACTGCTACACACGGTATTATTTTGCAACATGGATAATCTGCCGACTCTGTGTCACAAAAAGATTTAAAAACTTGAAGTTCGGCTTACAGAGGTTCTACTGTTAAAGTTCTAATAAAGAATATTTATTATTTTACTTAATTTTTTAAATTGTATCTGAATATAATTTACATGATGAAGATAAGGTGATTTTATTAAAATTATTTTAATGTATTAAATTTTACAATTAATCATAAAAACTTACAATACACTGACATTACAATACATGGAAATAAATTAGATTTTTATTACATCGTGTGTAGATTAAATCTCAAACAAATAAATCTGAAGATATCGAGTTAGTACACTTAGGGTCGGCTTTCTAAGTCTAGTACGATATGGCTGAACTTTATGTGGAGCGACTGCCACCAGACCTCCACAACCCAAGCACTAAGCGATATCGAAGTTCTGTAGAAATACTGTTGTCGAACTTTTTAGGACGCTAACCCGTAACGATTGCTACAGATGACCAGAGACTGAGCAACCAGACCAACGGCTTAAAGTGCATTCCGAGGCACGGTCAACCATCCATAGATTGACCTGTCAAGGATTGCTTAACTTTGCAATGTGTTAACCCACTCTGTTGCCACTTAGCCACGAGCCCCACATAATTATACACAAATCTCCTCCTCCTTCTTTTAGAGAAGCTTTTGGAGAAGCTCCTCCTTTTTAAGTAGGTTAAAAAGTGTCTCTGTGTCGCAGGTGAAAGATGTGGATCCTATAGTGTTGGATGTGTGGATACACGTTGAAGGACCTGCATTGCAGTTTAAAATTCAGCCAAATTACACGCCTCAAGACTTGCCTACTATGTGGTTAGTTCAATTTTAATTCAATTCCATCAGTTTTAATTTCTGTAATAATATTGTAACTTTTTATTTACCGTTCTCCATATTTTATTATACTATTCACTTCCTGGCACGATCTTCTAATCAGCTTCAAGATGCCAAACCATAATGTTGCCTTCGAGACTACGAGTATATTTATTTATTTATACTTCCTGCAAATACATTACCTTACATTACCTTACATTACCTGACTTAATGCCATAGGCATTTTCTTCCAGTCAACCTTGGGGTGATGCAGAGATTTGTGTATGGCAGGTATATAATGAGATAAATTATTTAAATTGTAGTCGGTTGCAAGATGGATACATATATAAATGCAAATATCATTTATACGTACTATATAATACTATAAATATTAAAAAAAACATAAACATATGTATATGCAAAGTTTCATTTCATAATTTTCTTAGTCCGTGTGGTCACGGTTTAAGAATACAGAGTGACACCACCACTGTTCATAACGTGGGTGTCGTAAGAGCCAACTAAGTGCGCAAACTATGCAGGACAACAACACTGCAAAGAGAAAGAATAATCCCACTGCAATCATGCTACCGGACCAAGTTGTCAGCGGTAAGAATTCCTGTGAGAGAGTTACGTCATCCAGATCTGAAATATTTTTTTATCAGTTGCCATTACAATGCTTTCACTATTGTTCCAGGTTGTCACAATCGGACGCAACGCGGTCACTCATCGTTAAGAATGTGTCACGATGCGAGCTCCTCGTCAGTGCTTACGTCACACTCGAGAACGGTTCGTTACTCGTTTTAATTTACTTGGAGATAAATTTCTATTTTTTTGTCCGTGTGACGTGTTTGGTGACGGATAAAGAAAACGAAATGTCACCACTCCTAATAATATCGTAGGGGTCGTAAGAGCCGACTAAGGGAGCAAACTACACAGGACAACAGCACTGCAAAGAGAAAGAAAACTTGAAACAAAACCTGTACACACAACAGCACATCATCATCATCACATCAACAGTCTTTAATAGTCCACTGCTGGACATAGGCTTCTCCTTAGAAAGGAGGTTTTAGCCTACTATACCACGCTGGCCAGACGGGTTCGTATAGGGTTTATGTCAAGTTTTCCTATGTCCAGCCGTAGACTATTAAAGGCTGCTGATGAATTTTTGTAAATGTTCCTCTCACATTGTTTGTTCCCTCATTGCTGGAGATCATTACATCTTCTCAGTTGATTTACGGTCTGAATCCAACTGATCCGAACAATTGATCAGAGCAAGGCGCCGCTAATAGATAACTCCAGCTGCTCGAATATCTGGTCCAACAATTTCATTAGTTGCCCTAATAAACTACAGAGATAAAATAGGAGAGAGTCTAATAGGAGCCGCATTTCATGTGTTACATGTAATATCTGAAATCTATAATATCTATATATCTAAATATTTTCTTTTTAAAAAGACAACTCCCGCATTAAGGATATATTCTGTGTCGCAGGGGACTTTACAAACATACATAGAACGGACACAAAGAACACTCAGACTCAGAACAACAATTTGTAGATCACACAAAGTGTCGTCCCATGTGGGGATCGCACCCACAACACTCAGGGTAGTAGTAAGCGGCGTGGCGACCACTTAAACCACTACGCCACCCGTGCAGTCAATCACTCCCAAAAGATTGCAGGAAAAGAGAAGGAGGAAAGACTTAAAGGAAAGAATAAAAGAATATTTGAGTAGTATTCACTCACTTAAATATAGACAAAGAATTAGAGTATTTTAATTTCACTAATTTTCTGTAAACAACATTTGGTTCACTTCGCATATTGACTCGACTTTGCTCCTTCTATTTCGCAATGTATTTACTGGCTTTTATGGGATAACATAAATACTGCTTATGTAACCACGTTCCAATCCGAAGATAATAAAACCTCAGCACCGTTGCCGATTTCGTTTGAAATCTTACTTAACTAAAGTATCACTATATTTCTCTTGCCTTAATTAAAAGATTTCACATATGAAATCTTTTAAGTAAAGTATTTTGTTGCCACATGTAATTTAAAATCTTCCTCAGCACTAAAATATATTTTTGTCATAATAAGGTTTTATTTAAACTGCATCGTGTCAATTTTATCAATAGTCTTTAATGCATGAATGTAATTAAGCAAAAAAGCGTATTTTAGTTTGACACGACTAAAATCGGTTAAAGAGTTAGTTGGGTTATAGAGTTTATTTATTGTTTGTTTTTTTTTAAACTCGTGGAGTAACGGTTGTCATGTCCGTCCAACACAAAGGGAGGATCCTCCAACCAGGCGAGGTGATCATGCCTGGCGGATGGCGGGCCAACGGTTGAGGTTGGGAAGTTGTATATGACGGAGGACCGATGTCTGGGTTGTTTTAAAATAGAGTGACGTCAGCAAAGCTGACTTCATTCTTTAAATTGTCATGGTTTTCCCTTATAAAAGTCCCTTAGTAGTAGTAGTAAATAACAACAACAATAGTAAATACAACTAAAGATGTCTACCAAGTTGTTACACACAGTCGTACATAGATCCGTACAGTAGTAAATATAGTTAGATGTATTCCAAGGTCTCACAAACAGTTGTGCGTAGATTTGAACAGCCCGACGGCTTGAGCGAGAATGACCGAGTATGTTTTTTTTTTTTTTTTTTGTGTGATGTATGGTTGTTGGCCTCGGATGGCCTCGACAACCTTGCCCGGGCTTTTCGGTGAGCGCAGAGGGCTCTCAACCGGTCTTTATTAAGTAACATCGCCCAAGGGCACCCCCTGTGGGGTACGAACCTCGGCTTGGGGCGTTACTGGCAAACTAGGGCGACCAAGACCCACATTTAGGAGTTAACGCGGCGCGTATTCCGGCCCCGGCGGCGAGGACGGAATCGCGGACGATTCGTGGTAGCTGCGCGAGCTGTGTACACTCGCTGCTGAGCGAGGGTGATAGTGTCGTCTGGCTCAACTAGAGCGTGTTTCGGTCTGCGTGTGCGTGAAATTTTGCTGGGTGTGTAATTAACAGCCGCAACCACTAGAGGGTTGGGGTGAGTCGGAGCAGAGTCAAAGTAGCTAAGGGAGCACTGTTTTATGAATTGCCTGATGGTCGGCAGCTCGAGGTCGATATGAAGGTCGACATTACGCACATACCACGGTGCTCCCGTAGCCCGGCGCATGAAATTATTTTGTAGTGTTTGTAGCCTATGGATCCTGTGTTGCCTAGCGTGTGCGAATACTACACTACCGTATGTCATGATAGGTCTAATACATGACGTGTATAATCTGACTTTGTTTTTGAGTGATAATTTGGACTTTGAGTTGACTAAACTATGGAGTCGACCCAACACGAAGGCAGCCCTGTTACGAACCGCCTTAATGTGGGGCCCGAAGGTTAGTCGATCGTCAAGGATTATACCTAGATATTTGGCCTGTCTAGCCCAGGGGATAGGCGTACCAAACATCCTTATCTGTGGGAGACCGAGTATGCGCAATGCAGCAGTTTTTATAGGACGCACTGTTTGAGCACGTGTTTACATGTTAGGTTAAGTGTTGTATTTTCTTATTGTGTTTAGATAACACGATTCTTCAGGTTATTTCTTAACACTAACTATCAAAACTATAATCAGAATCCATTGGAATCTAACTTTAAAGGTAGTTTGTAGTTGCTCCGATATATACATGCTAATTGACAAGAGAATTGTGAATATCACGATACGGGATTAGCAGTTACTCCGTAGTTCGGTGTGTCTGCGTCAGATCGCGCTCTACTATGTTTCTTTGTTTCATGGAATGTGGAAGTAGCCACATCCTCATCGCCTAACGTAATAGTGGATAGTTACAGTGTCTTTTAGGTTAAAAAGTTGAGTCATTTATACAGAATGCGTGCAGGACGTGTTGCCATTCAGATTGTACATACGTTTGTACGACGTACTACCTAAGACCTGCCCCTGTGACACCGCCAACCAATGTAAGTGCCTCATTGATGTTTATTACTAATTATAACGATACTTGTTACACAGCAGAGTGGATAATTCACAGGTACAAAATATAAAAATTATTAACCATGACTTTGTTTTAAATATTACAGATAATTAAAAGTGATATCGTCTGAAAAGGGCATTAAACTTTTGAAAATCAAAATATTTATTTTTTAAATGAAAGAAGTTGAAATGAATTAAATTAGAATTTTAGTATTTGATTGCCGACTTAGTATCTTTTTTTTTAAATTTTAGGAGAGGTAAATGTTTTAAATGATTTACTGGCATGTAACACAGTGTCAGAAGAAAACTTTTAGATTTAATGACACCGGCACTTATAAAAAGAAGTTCCTTAATATTTTTTGTAGCTGAGTTTGGTGAACAATCTATAACACCTACTAATAGCAGCGTGGATATGGACACAGAAGTGGAACTGTACCTGGCAGCAGATCGTGGGCCGCAGAATGAGCTCTATTATAACGTATGGTGATCTATTTACATTAATATATTCGACGGTCATGATTGTTAGGTCCACACTGTTTTTCTACATACATCTAACTTAAAACTTATGAACTACTAAGTAAATGAATTTATAAATGCTAAAGTTTGGATTTGTCACAGAGATATATTATTGTCAGCGACAGCACATAGCTTTGCTTACTTTTTCTTCAGTTACTTTTTACTTACTTTTTCTTTTTACTCTGGTTTTTATTGAACTGATTGACAAAATTATTATGAATATGAGCGTCGCCGTGTTTGTAATATTTATTAAAACGAAATACTTGGCTAGTATAACGAAAATATTTTGCAAGGTAACACCAGATGTGTGCACAATGAAAGCGGGCGTGACGATGAAGTGGGAATTGTCACTAAAACCTCCATCATCTCCCGAAACAGCGCCGAATGGTACTCTGATATTGCGATTGAGGCCCCTTCACAAATTTGGGTAAATAATCTTTTAACAATAATAACATTAACAACTAGACACACCTTACACACAACCGATCCTGAACTATGTGAAACCTGTATCATGGTAACCAAAATGCTATTTAAAGCTCTTATATGTACATTTGGAAGTACATACAAATTAAAGATAAAGTAAGGGCCACAGGTTCGCATACAGATTACATGGTATTAAGCACTAGACCAATACGTCCGTTATTTGTTACCTGGTGCTTATCGAATGGCGTGATGAATCACGTCCTTCATGATGTTCGGTGCTGCTTAACCGTTTTATTCGGCGGTCTACGTATAGCTTATGTACAATACCATTCTGCGAACTCTTTATTGCGATGCGATGCAGGGTTAGCAGTAACGATGTAGTTAGATTTGTCTTCAATAGATGGCTCTGCAGTACTTTTAATTCAAATAAACAACATTGCAATTATAAAAGAGATAGCGCGTTTAATTAACGAGCATGGAACTTAGTAGACAATTAAGCCATCAAAGAAATTTTGAAATCAGCCTCTTGTTTTTATATCACTATTAAAATATATATTCTATTAAATACACTTTCTGCATTTATTCTGATATTGATCAATTTAGTTGGTTTAATATACTCTCAATATCATGAAAGTTATTTTCAAAGTTAAAGTTATGTTCAGTGACAGCTGGTACCGCGATGAGCCGGCGCCACAGTTGGTGCAACTCCGTCAAGTAGTGACTGTTCCTCAAGTCAAACTGTCGTGTGACGAGATTGTAGTCAAGGTTTGTGCATTGGATCTGCCCTATGGAGACTTTTTAAGGTTAATATTATTATTTATTATTTGAACATTGCTTTTATTCCATGAATTTTTCTTCATGTTTAATAATACGTGTTCACTGGAGTAGCTTATTAATTATTATTTTTTAAACCTCACATATCTTACACGGCAGTCAGATCCCAAACTAGGCAGAACCTGTACTATAATTACTAGACTGCTGATAAACATACTTATACATTTCTAAATACATACATATTACCCAGACACTGAACAAACATCACGCAAATATTTGTCCTGGGTGGGAATCGAACACACACCCTCCGGCTTAGCAGTCAGGGTCACTAGCCACTAGACTAACAGGCCCGTCATTATCTCATCTAGTTGTTTAGGTCAAGGACTTGAAAATAACGAGATCTGAAATTACAGTACCGTAATACCGTATTACAGTATCTACGTAGATAGACGCGGTACTGTATCAAATGTATCCATGGAGACGTCACTATGGATACATTTGACGTTATGAACTTTACTTAAATTATAATGCCACTTGCTAAATACCCCACCCATTTAGTTTTGGCACGAATCTTCGAGAGAGAGAGAGAGAGAGTTCATTAACCGCGCAATAACGTGTACTAATAATAATAATACGCAGTAGCTTTATTACTATACGCATAAGATTCGAAATAGACAACCTCTTGATGTTGTTTACATTTAAAACGGCCTCTCGGTTCTTGGAAACGGTTGGAGAAAGAATATTCTGTCTGTCTACCTACTAAAAATCAGGAACATATAGGAATATATACCTACTCGCTTTTAATATAGAAGAATTTAGTAAGATTAGTCTAATAGTAAAGTAATTAGATGTACCTTAGACACAATTAAAATTTCTGATAAGACCGTAATTATGACGTGTTTGTTCCCTCGGTTCTTTATTAGAATTTACTCGATAAATTAATGAAGTTTCTAGCAGTTTATCGAATAGTATAAACACAGGCACGTCTTCACCGTTGAGACAGTTCAGTTTGCGCTAAAGTGCGTTAAATATCTAAGTTATCTAAGCGAATAGAAGATTAACCCAGCGACCTCGGTGATCATTATGAACGACTATTAAACACTAATTGCATTAATTCAAGTGTGTTGGTTAATTAAGTGGCTTAAGAAGTCACAAGGTATTTGGTTCAAAATTAACGTGACACGTAAAACTGTATTAAGTAATATTAGTTTTATTTTCTTTTTAGTGAAAATTTATGGGACAAAACTTTAGTATTCGAGCCGTTGTTAACGAAGAAACTGCCATTAAAATGCCTTTCTACGCCACTTATTATAAAATGTGTGATTATTCTTATTCTTCTTAAAAATATTTATTGAAATAAAAACCGCTAAAAATGAATACTTAAAAGATAATTCAAGCCAAACTTTGGTACCGGCCGTCCGATTCTTAACTTTAAAATAGCCTATAAGTTAAATCTGTTAACTTAACTAATTTAGTAAAAATCTTTAACATAAATTACTAAGAACCTGAAGTTTATCATATAGAATTTCGCTACTCTATATACACAGTATTCCTTAACTCGTAAATCAAAATATGACAACTCGCATCGTTTAGTCTCGGACAAAAAAGGCGTCATCGACTCGTAAAGAAGATCGCAAGCAAAAACACATTTGTTAAATAATCTAGTTATCTGTGACTTAGAAAACGCGAGGCAATTTAACATCAAGGGTTCGCACTTGCTGTTAATAGAATTTTTTGGTTGACAGTAGCTTTTTGGCACCAGAATCCAATAATCGCCACGTCAGTGGACACATACTTTCATGAGAACAAGCTCAATATTGGAACATGTACCATGTGCGAATATTGAACTGCCACGTGCCGTTTTGTTGCCAGGACGGTATAGCTTAATTTTAGCTCTGTCTTTCAAACTTTAAGTAAAACGTGTATTGTATATTATTTTTCTACAGACAGAAGAATATGTTGCATTTTTAGCATAAATGTTTTATCCTTTTTACAGTTTAGGTAGGTTTAATAAAAAATACAACAAAAAGTGTATTTAGCTATGCGCCATGTACGTGCAAGTGCTTAATAACAGTTTTTCATACGATACAGGATTCGCAAGCGTTTCCAAGTGCTAAATGTAGGCAACGCTGACCTTAACGTGAGCATACAGACTAGATTTCCTTGGTGCTTGGTAAAAGGTCGACCGAGTCACCACGACAAGGAGGTCAGATGCGCTATAGGTTGTGAAACGCTTCCTCGAAACGAGTGCAGAGATTCACACGTTACAATAAACCTGCCGCCTAGGAGCTCCACAGAGGTGTGTATAAAACTAGTTTCTAAGATTGCATCTTATTAACATTGGTGTAAGAGGCATTGCTCTAAAGTAAATACAATCATTATTTAACTGGCCGAACTCAAACAACGGTCATTACAGTTTATAATAAAGGTATAAAAATTGATTCATGACAGAACTAATCTGTCATCATTTGATAAAGTTCTGCTAGGTGTACCGCAAGGCAGTATATTGGGACTTGAATTGGTATTAATATAAGGTTTTAAAAAGTAATTATCTTTAAATAAATATGTTGGCATTTTAAATATTTCTTTTCAACTACATTTACAAAACCCACGAATAATTTATGTAATTTATCTTATCTAATCACTGATAGAATGAGGTTAAAAGAAAATATATTCATATAACATCTGTCAAACTAGCCATTAATAATGCTTAAGCGTCATATCGCTTTCTTTGTATAAAATTGACCTTTACTCTACTTCGTGGAGCCTATAATTGAAGCCTAATCTAAGCCATTGTGGAAAAAGTGTTCCAGATAATAAGTAAGAAAGAAACTATGTACACATCGCATCAGTTACTTTCACTGATTATGCTATTCCATTAAGACTCTCTTGCTTCAACAAATAGTATTGTGAAATAGATGAGTTATATTGAGCGGGTGCGTTATGTAGGTGTGTTTGGAGGTGAGCATATGTACTACGGAAGCATGGGCGCACTGCGCAGCCGCAGGTAACGAGGCGTGCGAGCCACCGTGCTACGAGCCGCGTCGCCAGGAGACCTCCCTGCTCTTTGTGTACGATGACGCACAAATGCTCTTCGTATGTATCACCGCTTTTAAAGTAGCCAAAAGTAGAATTTACATATTTTGTAGTGACTTATCTCGGTGCGGTGGCGAGTCGAACAGAAACGAACACACGTCATTCTCACATCTTATCTTATGACTCATTGCTCAAATACCGCGCGTTTCTCCAGCTTCCTGTAGCTTTCACTTCTTCGTTTTTATATTATTGTAATAATGTTACCTTATCTAATTAAAATAAGAAATATGAACATTCAGTTATATAAAAATTGAAATTATTTTAGAACTGTATTTTCGATCAACAGACAATACCATTAATTTTGGAATTGGAGTATCCAGCGATAAAAACTGAACCGCAAGTCATGGACTTTGGATTTGTCACTGATGGCGACAGCCGGAAGTCCTACGTCTCTATTTCGCATACCAGTTCTGTGCCGTTTGAATTTGTTTTGGTGTTTTTAGTGTAGCATTAGTTATGTAGGTGCAATTTTTGACCAATAAGAGTAAAGTAATTTAGTGTTTGTAATCTTTTCTTTATAGTATTGCTTCATTAATTAGCTATTAGTCAGTATTTACTTAATTCTTTTTTAAATATTATATTGAGGTTTCAAAAATAAAAATAAACGTTTCTTACATATTTCAGGTAGTAAAACCCTAACCTTAGCGGTTCGATGGTTGGGTCCTCCCGAGTTCGAGATTTGGCCTTTTTTTCTCGAAGTACCACCCGAAGATAGTAAGCAAGTTTACATTCAGTACACAGCCGTGTAAGTAATTTTGTCGGCTCACTTCAATAAACTTCAATACAAATTTCATAACAGCTGTTTCTAGTACAGGATGTTTACGTGATTACAAATTACAAGTAAAGTAACATTTTACAAGTACGTACTTAAGTAACATGGGTATGTATATGCGTATGTGCTGTTACGAGTCTCGGGTAACTTTGGACTCACTCAAGCAATTTATCCAACTCGTTTTGTAAAATAATGGCCCTGTATGCCGAAACTGAATGAGTAGGTATAGGACCAGCTGGTGTTCTTGGAACTGACCCATAAAACCGTCACTCTTTTCGTAACCGTGACGAGCGGAAAACTGTCATCCTCATTTTATCCACCGGCTCCGGCCAAAGAGCCACCGGCTGGGACAATATATTCTCCCGCGACTGAATTAACCCTGTCCTAATTTTATTATGGTCATCGTCACCGGATATCAGGGCTCTAGTCTTTTGTGACAAGTAATAACTGTGTCATTATTTAGTTCGAGCTGAAACAAGTCGTCAATGTATATCAGGAAAATGTTGGACCCAATATAAGCCCAATTTAGGCTATTAGTTCCAAATACTTTCTGTGCACGTTACCAATTTTCTTTTAAAATAATTTTAAATATCGTAAATAGTTGGCGTCAAGGGCGTGCGGAAGGCTGTGTGCTAGTGAACGTGTGCTGTGGTGCGGGCGACACGAGGCACGACAAGAGCGCGCCGCCCTCGGGCTGGTGCCGCGCGGCGCTGGCGGTGCGCGCGACACCCGCGCGTGATAACACGTGGCACGCCCCGCCGCACGACTACACCGACGATGACCACTTGCTGCCCAAATCTGCGCAGGCATACCTACCATGATCGACGACTCCAATATTGCAAGCCTCTATACTAATGTACGTTTTACTTCAAAAATGCAAGTAACGTAGGTACACGAGTAAATATATAACACCTGTTTCATATAATCACAAATACAACACTTTCTTGTTAAATGATTATATTGAGTAACCTCATTAGCAGGTAACACTATTGGATATTATCTGATAGCGGCAAGCGACGTACCGAAAACGTCAACGATCAACTTAAGTGCAGTTTCGCCATCTTGTGTTAAAATCTATATTAGGATATGTATTTAAGATATAAAATGATATGTAATAAATGTTTGCGTTATCTTATGGTTTATATTTTCTTTTGCTTACTGTTTCTTATTGCGTTCTTTTTAAACTATTTATTTTTAAGTTATTTTGAAAATAATAGACTTTTGCTATAGATGCAAGATTTAAAGAAAAATAAGTTCGCCTACCCAATAATACCTATTTTTAAAATCTAAATTACTGCTAAAGGTTTTCATCAGTGACTAAAATTATGTAACATAACTTTAAGCTAATAAACATCTATTAGAATTATTTTCTTTCAAATCTTCCCTTGACTACCTCTGTCGTTTATATGCCACCAGAAGTAACGAATGCACAATCTATGTCCCTCGGTTGTGAAGTTGGGTTCATGGTTTTTAAATGACAAGACCAAGGGATAACTTCCTGTTCGTTAAAGTGAGTATAAATCGGGACATGGTGTATTGATCATTAATACTTATGTATCTAAATTGTTGGCCTTATGAAGTAACATAGTCATAAGAGATCTAAACTCTATGGTACGTTGGAAAGAGGCCGGACAAACCGCAGCCCACGAGAACTATAATCGCGTCATGCAGAATTAGTATTTTGTTAATTGTGTATTCACTTAATAGTATTGGAATAAGTCTTTCGTGTTATTTGGAAGTCGCTACAACTCTTGAAATAAAATAGTACTTTAATTATACCGTCAGTATTTAGCTTAATTACTTTGCTATTGATTGAAAGGTCTATTTAGCCACGAAGCTCTGCTGACGAACGTAATTCTGTTCACAACTTCTGTTTGATGAGCTCTTGTGATCGCAACACAAGTTTCAGAGCAAATTGCTCTGTAAGCAGTTAATAAACTTTGTGGAATGACTTTGTACGAAGCGGGCTTGTCTTCACGTATATACTGTGCAATATTTTTTATTTGAAATTAAAATAAATTATCATCATCATCAACAGGCTTTAATAATCCACTGCTGGACATAGGCCTCTCATTAGGAAGGAGGTTTTGGCCAAATGTTGGAACATGGTTTGTGTCAAGTTCTCCTTCTCTTTGTATGTTGGTCAATAAAGAATGAAGAAGTTATTATTATAAGAATTATTAATATTATACCTGATAAATGTTTACTTCATAATCTCAAAATATTGAAATTATAGAGAGACAGTGAATTACCTTTGCTACTGAGTATTTTTACCTCATATATATAATTTACGTTTAGAACAAAAGTCTTAAAACCGTCTTAACTTTTAGTAATGTAACTGACCATTCAGTTTTATTACAAAGATTTTGAGAGGAAGTAAAATTGAACTTTTAAAAAGATTTGTCAACTGCACGTTTCTTCAATAAAATGGAATCGTCTTACTGTCTTCAGAGATGCAAAGTATGAATCCAGAAGGAGTAATTGTCTCAAACAGCCTACTAACAGTGGGAATAAACGTTTGTAACCAAATCTCGACTTTGTAATAAAAGCACTGAGAGTTATTTTTGAAATATGACTTGCATTTAATTAATATTATTTAACGGGAATTAACGCGATCTCTTATTAGGCCGTGGTCAGCCTGTGACCACGGCCGGTGCAACCTGGTCGAAACGTCAGGCAAACCAGAGGTATGTAATACCCTAAATAAGAGATCGCGTTAATTCCCGTTAAATAATATTAATTATCATGGAACGCGAAAGTTTAAAAGTTAGTATGACTTGCATTTAATCGTCGTTGTAATATGTAGGCTTGACCTCACAGAATAGGTTTTATGCCTTCAGATGTATATTTCAGGGTTTTATCACCATCTACTTGCTTCAATCATAACTATTTATATAAACACATTCTGGAAGTCAATTTTAACCCACTTTGTTAAATGGTGTTATTATAAATTATTAATGTTAATTTTAACCGGCTATGAAATTTTAGTACTCGTATTAATATAATTTGTAACTGTTTTTTAATTTTAATTAGTGATTTGTATTGATTTAATTTTTTTTAATGCTAAACCATGCTTAATTTTTTATTAAGTCTATTGTTAACTGATATTTAGGAAAGTAACTTTACTGTAGTGGGGTTTTCATTCCTCTTTCTTCCTCTTCCTCATTCTTCCTCTTCCTCTCTAAGTTTTAATTTTTTTTAGTCCTTAAAATAGACATTTAAAGATTCAAACCTATACGATTGGACAAAAATGCAAAAATACACAGATTACACAATTAGCAAACATTGGCTGTGTTTCTTTGTGCAGATGTGAGAACAATTGGCATTTTCCACATTTCATTTTTGTGTGTTTGTGTTCATTGTTGTGTTCTAACAATAGATAACCAATAATTATCTCTATGCCATTTTTGTTAGCTTAACACTATTTTCAACCGAACTTTCAACAATACTTTAATCCAAAATCACAACTTACAACAACAACAACAACATACTTACAACAGTCTATAACAGTCCACTGCTGGCCATAGGCCTCTCCTAGGCCAGACGGGTTGGTATAGGGTTTGTGTCAAGATTTCCTTCTTTTTGCAGTGCTGTTGTCCTGCGTTGTTTTGCGCTCTTAGTCGGCTCTTACGACACCCACGGGATGAATTGGGGTAGTGACATTCCTTATTCTTAATCCGTCACTACACGGACGTGATAAACTACGGGACAGAGGTACATTATAATGTAAAATTGAAATGAATATTAATTATTATTCATCGATACACTAATAACTATGTTCAATCGAATGCATCAAATATTTTTTATATCCACAGGTGCTGGACCACACTCTATATATATTTATAACCAAAAATATAAAATAAAATATTTTATAATGACACAACAAAAAAATGGTGTACTTTAACGCCTTTATCTTGTATGTGTTGGTGGTTTTTTCTTGTATTTGTGTTGTATTTATGGTGGTTGGTGTATCGTGCCTTTTTCTTGTATTCATGTTGATTTGCCAACTATCACTCAGAAAAGCACAACATGTAGCAAGATAATAATCACAACTTATAAAAAAATATAAGTACTCCATTGATAAAGGTTTTTTTTAGAAAAAGTTACATTGAATAATGAACATCGTTACGTAATGTTTTCTATAAAGAGTCTCCTTAACTATCTCTCTGTTAACTGGATAATAGCCATTAGTCTTTTACAGCACTTTTGATTATATACGTATATTTTATATATAGTTGAACGCGTCACAAGGCAACAAGAAAAGCTTCTGTAAAACTGGGATCACGTTCCAACGAACAAAAAAATGTTTGCGCTGTGCAATAGCTAGCGGATTTTTTTTTTATGTTAGAGGGGGCAGACGAGCAGACGGGTCGACTTGATGGAAAGTGACCATCGCCGCCCATGAACGCCTACAACTCAGGAGTCACAAACGCATTGCCGGCCTTTTAGGAAGGAGTACGCTCTTTTCTTGAAGGTTTGAAGGTCGTATCGGTCCGGAAGTACCACAGACGATAACTTGTTGAGAAGATTACCCGGAACTAGCAGACATACAGACAGACAAAAAAAACAGATTTTTAGGCATAGGTTTTGAGTTTTATAAGTTATAGATTGGTTGTGCGGTCAGGCTTTTCCAGTCAAAACAAACATAAATAAAAGAAGATTTTTTCCATATTTTTTTTTTTTTTTACTTTTTGCAGTGCTTTGACATGGAAACATTAAGTATTTCAAATCCTATGTTCATCTACATTTCTTTAAAACTGGGTACAAAGAATTATCTTAATCTGTACTAATATTGTAAGACGTAAAGTTTGTGAGTTTGTATGTTCGGGTAATCTCCGGTACTACTGATCCGATTCTGAAAATTCTTTCACTGTTATGTAGGTATGTTATCCCTGAGTGCTAAAGACTACTTTTTACCGCGATATATATTAATATAAAAGATATGTTTTACACATATCTTTTTTTTTGCCTTCGTAGTTTTACGTTTGTAAAAGTCCTAACATCAGGCTTAAGTATTCTCTAAAGTCTAAGAAACTGTTTTTAAATCAGGTCACCTAAAGTTTACTTAATATTTTGTTCCTCATTTCCCCTACTCCATTTGCTCCAAATACTCCCCTATATGAAAGGTTATGAAACGAACCAGACACCTAATGAACGGCATTGTAACGTTCTATTAAATTAAAAAGATTGATTTTGACGAACTCTTTGAGCAAAAACATGATGAAAAGAGTGATTACAAATTAAAAATATTTAATATTTTAGACAAATTTTTTGCATTTTCTAACTAACTATCAGTAATTTATATTAATATTCACATGTTTCATTTAAAAAAATTAAGGTTTTAAAGCTAATTATACTTCATTAAAAAATTGTATAGGAATCTTAGGAAGAATTTAGTACAGCTGAATTCTTTCATTTTCAATTTAATCAAGTACAATTTAAAAACAATAATTATTCTTTTAAAATGAAGCACATTGGAAACAAGAAATATTATGGCTTACAACGCACCTTCGTTTAAAAGAACCTGTCTGATCGTAGTGTTTACTGCATTTATATAGGAGTTAGTGTATAGCAGACGCTCGCAAAGTTTTTGATCAGAAATGGATCGTAATTACATCGACTTACATATTTAAGTAACTTATGATTGTGACAACAAAAATCATTTTAAATTGTATGTGTTACCATTTATCGATGATTTAATAGAACTTCACGATGTACAAAATGAAATGACATTTATCATAAACCACGTAGGTACAGGTTTCATATCGTTTGAAGCAGTGCGGGTATCTATTGCGCTCAGAGCGAGCGAAGTCGGATCAAGCAGCCCGTAAAATCCGTTTAGTTGGTGTCTCTATTTTTATATTTTATTTTCTCAACTCAGAAAAAGGATGTGTAAGAAATAAGATTTTCTACATAACACCGTAATATTATATGACTTTTACATATATAAGTGAAGCAGGTATCGCTGGAGGGATATTAAACACTCATATTTTGCTAAGATTTGGTTCCACTGAGAATTTACATGAATTTATTAAAAAAGGAAGTGTCAGCAATGGAATGATTGATTTATTATAGAATAGAATAGAATATAAATATTACAGACGGATATGTACAATGGGCGTCCTGATCGCTAAAAGCAATCTTCTACAGGCAATCTTCGGATGGACGAATCGACGGTAGATGAGAAGAAACAGTGGGTAGTCTAGGTAGGTATATTGAAGCTTCCCCGCCCGCACTCATTGCTGCCATGCTGGAGGGTGAGGAGGGCTGTAGCGCAGTGGTCTCTTTTTGTGAAGCTGTAATGCTCCAGAAAGAGACTGCCGTAGGGAATCGGGTGAGGACCGATCCTGAGCGAAGAAGACGTCGGCGGCGGAATGAGCAGACGACGGTACCGCTGGCCGCCAGAGAGTGGGGACCACTGGTGGCAGATTAATTGCTGCGGTAGGAGATAGAATGGCAGCCTGATCGCACTAGAAATGTGGATAGGCTAACAGGCAGGGAGAAGCCACTGACTTTCCTGGAGATAGGGCCTAGAAACCATGCTTATTTTTTTATTAAGTCTATTGTTAACTGATATTTAGGAAAGTAACTTCTATATAAATAAAAGAAAGTCGTGTTAGTTACACTATTTATAACTCAAGAACGGCTTTACCGATATGGCTGAAAGTTGGTGAGGAGGTAGCTTAGAGCCAGGAGACGGACATAGGATACTATTTATTCCAAAAAAAAAAAAAAAGTTTGCACGAACTTTGCTTTATACGTAAGTTGCCACGTTATTATACTTGGAATGCTTCATCGAAGAATTTTCAAAGACGGAAGATTTTTTCTAAGAAAAAAATTAACTTACTAAATTCAAAAATCGGCTTATTTATTGCCTTTAAGGCGGAACAGAGTTCGCCGGGTAAGCTAGTATATGATAAATTGTGAACTCGTCTCGGCGAGAACGTTCAATGATGGAGTTTACGTTTTTTAACGTTCAACTCTCAAATGCTATCGTGCAGCGCGTTTGACGTCGTTTGAGATATAACCGTTTAAACGCGCGCGCGTTTAGCTAAAAATTTTAAACAAATCTAACGAGAGCTCGCCCGTTTGCAGTACGACGTGACACGATCGTCGTCTAGCGGGAATACGAGTGTGAGAATGTTGAGGGGGGTGGCGTGTGTGTTGTGCGTGCGTGTCACACACGAAACGCGCGCGCCCTCTTATATTTTTCGCGTTCTATTTAGAAGCTCCCTGGTTGATCCTGCCAGTAGTTATATGCTTGTCTCAAAGATTAAGCCATGCATGTCTCAGTGCAAGCCGTATTAAGGCGATACCGCGAATGGCTCAATATATCAGTTTTGGTTCCTTAGATCTTACTCAGTTACTTGGATAACTGTGGTAATTCTAGAGCTAATACATGCAATCAGAACTCTGACCAGTGATGGGATGAGTGCTTTTATTAGATCAAAACCAATCGACGGAGGGCCTCGCGTCCGAAGTCGTTAATTTTGATGAATCTGGATAACTTTTGCCGATCGCATGGTCCAGTACCGGCGACGCATCTTTCAAATGTCTGCCTTATCAACTTTCGATGGTAGTTTCTGCGACTACCATGGTTGTCACGGGTAACGGGGAATCAGGGTTCGATTCCGGAGAGGGAGCCTGAGAAACGGCTACCACATCCAAGGAAGGCAGCAGGCGCGCAAATTACCCACTCCCGGCACGGGGAGGTAGTGACGAAAAATAACGATACGGGACTCTTACGAGGCCTCGTAATCGGAATGAGTACACTTTAAATATTTTAACGAGGAACAATTGGAGGGCAAGTCTGGTGCCAGCAGCCGCGGTAATTCCAGCTCCAATAGCGTATACTAAAATTGTTGCGGTTAAAAAGCTCGTAGTTGCATTTGTGCGCCGCGCTGTCGGTGCACCGCATCCGCGGTGATACTGACACGTCTGCGGAGCATATCGTCGGTGAGCCGGCGGTAATACGCCGGTTCAATATCAAAATCCTATCGCGGTGCTCTTCGGTGAGTGTCGAGGTGGGCCGACAATTTTACTTTGAACAAATTAGAGTGCTCAAAGCGGGCTCAAAATGCTGCTTGAATATTTCGTGCATGGAATAATAGAATATGATCTCGGTTCTATTTTGTTGGTTTTCAGAACTCCGAGGTAATGATTAATAGGGATAACTGGGGGCATTCGTATTGCGACGTTAGAGGTGAAATTCTTGGATCGTCGCAAGACGAACATCAGCGAAAGCATTTGCCAAAGGTGTTTTCATCAATCAAGAACGAAAGTTAGAGGTTCGAAGGCGATTAGATACCGCCCTAGGTTTCATTCCTCTTTCTTCCTCTTCCTCTCCCAGTTTTTATTTCTTTTAGTCCTTAAAATAGACATTTAAAGATTCAAACCTATACGATTGGATAAAAATGCAAAAATACACAGATTTCACAATTAGCAAACATTGGCTGTGTTTCTTTGTGCAGATGTGAGAACAATTGGCATTTTCCACATTTCATTTTTGTGTGTTTGTGTTCATTGTTGTGTTCTAACAATAGATAACCAATAATTATCTCTATGCCATTTTTGTTAGCTTAACACTATTTTCAACCGAACTTTCAACAATACTTTAATCCAAAATCACAACTTCATTAACAGTCTATAATAGTCCACTGCTGGACATAGGCCTCTCCTAGGCCAGACGGGTTGGTATAGGGTTTGTGTCAAGTTTTCCTTCTTTTTGCAGTGCTGGTGTCCTTAGTCGGCTCTTACGACACCCACGGGATGAATTGGAGTTGTGACATTCCGTATTCCTAATCCGTCACTACACGGACGGGATAAACGGGACTACGGGACAGGGGTACATTATAATGTAAAATTGAAATGAATATTAATTATTATTCATCGATACAATAATAACTATGTTCAATGGAATGTATCAAATATTTTTTATATCCACAGGTGCTGGACCACACTATATATATTTATAACCAAAAATATAAAATAAAATATTTTATAATGTCACAAGAAAAAAATGGTGCACTTTAACGCCTTTATCTTGTATGTGTTGGTGGTTTTTTCTTGTATTTGTGTTGTATTTATGGTGGTTGGTGCATCGTGCCTTTTTCATGTTGATTTGCCAACTATCACTCATAAAAGCACAACATGTAGCAAGATAATAATCACAACTTTAAAAAAAAATATAAATACTCCATTGATAAAGGTTTTTTTAGAAAAAGTCACATTGATTAATGAACATCGTTACGTAATGTTTTCTATAAAGAGTCTCCTTAACTATCTCTCTGTTAACTGGATAATAGCCATTAGTCTTTTACAGCACTTTTGATTATATACGTATATTTTATATATAGTTGAACGCGTCACAAGGCAACAAGAAAAGCTTCTGTAAAACTGGGATCACGTTCCAACGAACAAAGAAATGTTTGCGCTGTGCAATAGCTAGCGCATTTTTTTTTTATGTTAGAGGGGGCAGACGAGCAGACGGGTCGACCTGATGGAAAGTGACCATCGCCGCCCATGAACGCCTACAACTCAGGAGTCACAAACGCATTGCCGGCCTTTTAGTGGAAGGAGTGTACGCTCTTTTATTGAAGGTTTGAAGGTCGTATCGGTCCGGAAGTACCACAGACGATAACTTGTTGAGAAGATTACCCGGAACTAGCAGACATACAGACAGACAAAAAAAACTGATTTTTAGGCATAGCTTTTGAGTTTTATAAGTTATAGATTGGTTGTGCGGTCAGGCTTTTCCAGTCAAAACAAACATAAATAAAAGAAGATTTTTTACTTTTTGCAGTGCTTTGACATGGAAACATTAAGTATTTCAAATCCTATGTTCATCTACATTTCTTTAAAACTGGGATAAAAAAAAAAAAATTATCTTAATCTGTACTAGTATTGTAAGACGTAAAGTTTGTGAGTTTGTATGTTCGGGTAATCTCCGGTACTACTGATCCGATTCTGAAAATTCTTTCACTGTTATGTAGGTATGTTATACCTGAGTGCTATAGACTACTAGACTTTTTACGATAACTGATATATATTAATATAAAAGATATGTTTTACACATATCTTTTTTTTTTGCCTTCGTAGTTTTACGTTTGTGAAAGTCCTAACATCAGGCTTAAGTATTCTCTAAAGTCTAAGAAACTGTTTTTAAATTAGGTCACCTAAAGTTTACTTAATATTTTATTCCTTATTTCCCCTACTCCATTTGCTCCAAATACTCCCCTACATGAAAGGTTATGAAACGAACCAGACACCTAATGAACGGCATTGTAACGTTCTATTAAATTAAAAAGATTGATTTTGACGAACTCTTTGAGCAAAAACATTTATTTATTATTTATTTATTTATTTTCTTTAAAAACAACTATTTTTACAGGCTTAGCCCAATGCAATAGTGTTATACCATCTACTTATTTATTATAAGAAATAATTCTTAATGCTGTTATTGTGAATTCACTCAGTGAGCAATAAAATAAATCTACTTCATCCGCAATTATATTCAGAGTACGTAGTGCGCGCGTCAGCGGTGCTTCTCTCTGCAGGTTGGTGCGCCCGCACGGGACAGCCAGCAGCGGCGGCCCAAGGCGCCGCCACACGTATCTGTCCGGAACACATATGCATGATGAAAAGGGTGATAAAAAATTAAAAGTAGTTGTTTATTTGGACAAATCTTTTGAATTTTCTAACTAAGTATCAGAAGTTTTCCAAAAAATATTCACATGTTCATTTAAAAAATTAAGGTTTTTAAGCTGGTTATAATGTACTTCTTAAGAAGTTGTAAAATAATCTTAGAAAGCATTTACTACAGCTGAATTCTTTCATTTTCAATTCAATCAAATAAAATTTAAAAACAATAATTATTCTTTAAAATGAAGCACATTGGAAACAAGAAATATTAGGACTTACAACGCACCTTCGTTTAAAAGAACCTGTCTGTTCAAAGTGTTTACTGCATTTATATAGGAGTTAGTGTATAGCAGACACTCGCAAAGTTTTTGATCAGAAATGGATCGTAATTACATCGACTTATATATTTACGTTGACAAAACAAAACTAAACATATATTTTGTTGTTACTAAACATAACATATATTAACTTATGATTAAGTGACAACAAAAATCATTTTAAATTGTCTGTGTTACCATTTATCGATGATTTAATAGAACTTCACGATGTACAAAATGAAATGACATTTATCATAAACCACGTAGGTACAGGTTTCATCAACTCAGAAAAAAGATGTGTAAGAAATAAGATTTTCTACATAACACCGTAATATTATATGACTTTTACATATATAAGTCACGCAGGTATGGCTGGAGGGATATTAAACACTCATATTTTGCTAAGATTTGGTTCCACTGAGAATTTACATGAATTTATTAAAAAAGAAAGTTTCAGCAATGGAATGATTGATTTATTATGGAATAGAATAGAATATAAATATTACAGACGGATATGTACAATGGGCGTCCTGATCGCTAAAAGCAATCTTCTACAGGCAATCTTCGGATGGAGGAATCGACGGTAGATGAGAAGAAACATTGGATAGTCCCCGCCCGCACTCATTGCTGCCATGCTGGCGGGTGAGGAGGGCTGTAGCGCACTGGTCTCTTTTTGTGAAGCTGTAATGCTCCAGAAAGAGACTGCTGTAGTTAATCGGGTGAGGGCCGATCCTGAGCGAAGAAGACGTCGGCGGCGGAATGAGCAGACGACGGTACCGCTGGCCGCCAGAGAGTGTAGACCACTGGTGGCAGATTAATTGCTGCGGTAGGAGATAGAATGGCAGCCTGATCGAACTAAAAATGTGATCGGGCCGCAACATCTGGATAGGCTGATAGGCAGGGAGAAGCCACAGCCCAGGGATGCGGCGTTGATCTGGGGGGGACCTGAAATCACATGGCCTTGGTTCTCCCCAGAGCAGGGCACCTAAGGCTGGCTGTCGCGGTGGTTTTTAGTGGAAACAGCACATACACCTGGCTGGATTTACTGTACTTGCAACTCCTCCAATTTTCTTTTGAATAATTTCGTTGCGGGTTCTAAGACAGTTTAATTTCTTTCGTCTCGACTTCCCGAGTGTCATAACTCGGTGTGTTCTTGGGTCACTGCTGTGGATCCTGGTGTACTGGGGTTACAGTGGTGGGCGTGTGGATTAGATTAGTTCTGTTTAATAAAAAATACTCCTGGCTCCTATATCCCCAAGGAGCCGGTAATCCGAGGAGATTTCAGTGGTGTCAAAATTAATATTGCTTATATTCTTCTGTATAGAGAAGCTGTTGCAGGTCAAACTTACTTACCTGAAAATCCGTCAATGAGGGTTTTCGATATTTTTTCTGCCACCAGACGGCGCTTCGTATGCGTCAGGTCCAAACAGCTGTCAGATAGCACAGATTCTTACCGAACGTATAATATTTTAATGAAATTCTATGAATTTGGAAGTGTTATTGAGTTTATTATGGATTACGGCCAGAGAAAGTTCGCCGAACTGAAGATTGAGCTCAAAAAGAGAGGCGCAAAAGTTTTATTTGCACACATAGGCACTGCACAACACTGTGGCATTTTAGAAAACAATATTCCTTTTGGAACGTTTTTAAGAATGAATAAACAAAAAAAATGATCGAAAAATACAAATCGTGTATGTGTTTTGACAGGTGGTTGGACCTGACGAACCCACATTGGATGCTGTTTGTTTAAAAAGCATGCAGCTCGTGAAAATGAAAATTTGATCGAAATTCAGTTCCAATCCACTCGATCTCACAGGTAGCATGAAAGTTATTCTCGTAGTAAAGTATTACACATCCAACTTTAACTGTAATGTGATTATATTGTATTGTGACTGAAAGTTAGAAGAGTCAAAAATCGGTATTCTGCTAGTGCTAGTGCTTAGTAATTTATACTTTAATGCGTATAATATTGATTATCTATATTGATGTAGATTGAATGTTGGTCAATAGTAGACTGCCGGAAAGGAGTTTTATGAGCAGAATACCTGTTGTGAGTCAATTCTGATTTCGATTACTTTTCGTTCTGTGATGTTTTAAGATTACGAGAATTGGCCTTCAGATCCTGTTAATGATATCTAAGTGTCTAAATTTTCTATTTATAACTAACATAATAACTACATATATTTATTATTCTTTTTATAAAACTAGACAAAAGCCTTCCTTTATTTCGTTATTTATTTTCTTTGAACGCTTTAAAGTGTCACTAAGCCGTGGCATTATCTGTCCCTCATTCGACGGTTACTTAAACGCGAACTCTGCGAAAGCTTA